AGGGAAACATATCATCTATTCAAAAAGGCAAAAGAACTTAAAACTCGTGGATATAAATATGTATGGCATCGCAATTGTAAAGTGATGGTGCGAAGAAGAGACGATGATGAAGTCATTGTTATAAAAAATGAGACCATGTTGAACGATCTGTGTAATTCTTTGGAAAATTTGTAATCGGTTGGGCTTGCACATATATGTATACATATTTTTATTTTTAGTTGTTTACGTTTTCTATATTTGTTTTCTATATTTGTTTTTTCATTATGATTTACTACTTTATTTTTGTTGTTATTTTTATTATTCACAATGGCTACTGCAAATATTTCAACAAAGAATCTTAAGTTGGGTCATGTAAATATTCGCTCACTGTTGCCTAGTCTGGATAGCGTGAGTGATTCTGTTCATAGGTTGGAGTTGGACATATTGGGAGTTACGGAGACCTGGCTTTCAGAGCGAATTTCTGGTAATAGCATAGAAATAGACGGATACAATTTTTTTAGAAATGATCGAGAAACTCGAGGGGTGGAGTTGGTATTTATATTAAGAATAATATAGTGAGCAGAAAAATAGATATTGAGAATTCAGAAAGCATTGAACAGTTGTGGTTAGTAATAAAAGTTAATAATATTGAGATAGGTTTAGGTGTATTTTACAGGCCACCTAAAAGTAATTTAGTTGACGCATTGCAGCATATTGAGACTGCATTGGCAACAATTATTCCTATGTCCGATGAAATTTTTATTTTGGGCGATATGAATGTGAATCTTTTAAACTATAATAATGCTACAATTTCGATTAACGATTTTCTCACATCTTTCTCACTTAAACAATTAACCGCAGAACCCACACGAATTGTAAATAATCAGAATAGTCTTATTGATTATATTATTACATCTAATGACAGATTAATTGTTGGAAAGGTATTACATCATGATATGCATGAAGAGACCGATCATCAGCTCACTTTCTGCACTTTGAATTGTATTGCTCCTCGAGAAGCGCCTAAAATTATTAAATACAGAAACTTTAAATATTTTGATAGTGAAATGTTCCACGCGGATCTTATAAACACTCATTGGTATGATGTTCTTGAGGAACCGAATGTGGAAAATAAAGTAATGCTGCTTACTGATAAAGTAAGACAATTGTTTGACCGCCATGCGCCGATGTGCACTGTACGGATTACCAAGCAAAAGGCTCCATGGTTTACTGATGTCTTAAGGATTATGAAGAAAGAACGTAATAAACTGATGTCTAAGTACAAAAAAACAAGAAAGGAATGTGACTGGGCCGCTTATAAAAATATGAGAAATATTTTCACCCAAGCCGTTCGAAATGAGAAAAGGTCGTACCTGGAGTATATTTGTAAGTCGACTGATAGAAGAGTTCTGTGGAAAAGTCTGAACGGTATGAATATTTATCGTAAGGCTAAAACCTGCAGAACTCTTCCCAAGCATTTATGTAATCCAAATTCTATTAATGACTTCTTTCTGGACTCCATTAATAAGCTAGCACTGACTGTCGATTCTGACATAGTAAAAAAATACGAAAATGGCCGGGGCTCGAATCATGTTTTTCAATTTAGAACTATACTGGAAGTTGATGTGTTGAATGCTATATCTAATTTAAAATCAAATTCTTGTGGCTTTGATGGGTTATCCCTACAAATGATTAAGTTGTGCTCTCCAGTGATTATTCCTTTTCTAGCCCACATATTTAATGAATGTATAACTTCCAGAGTTTATCCGACTCAATGAAGGTAGCTACTGTAACGCCTATTCCTAAAATAAATAATCCTGGTAGTTTTTCAGATTTAAGACCCATAAGCCTTTTACCTACCTTGTCAAAGATATTTGAAAAGGCGATATACATACAACTTGTTAGTTATCTGAACGATTCGAACCTTATACCGCCCACTCGGTCAGACTTTCGAAAGGGATATAGCGCAGCTTCTGTGTTATTAAGTGTGCTTGACGACATTATATCTGCAGCTGATGAAGGCCGAACTTCTGCTTTGATAATGCTGGATTATAGTAAGGCATTTGACGCGTTGGACCACATGTTGCTTGTTTGGGTATTACGGGTTCTCTGTGGCTGCTGTTAATTTCTTTCACAGCTATTTAGTTGATAGGTCCCAATTTGTTTCGATGAATGGTAATCAATCGGAGGCAAAGTTTACTACTAAGGGCGTTCCTCAGGGATCCATTCTCGGTCCGTTACTTTTTATTATATACACCATGGACATAGCAGTGGACGATAACCACTGCAAAATGCATAGATATGCCGACGATACCCAATTACATTTAAGTTTTAGAAAATCAGAAGCATACGAAGCCCAGAACAAAGTTGAACAGTGTTTAGAAAAAATATACACTTATTCCAGCAAGAACGGGTTAAAACTAAATCCGACAAAGTCAGTAATCGTTTACTTCGACCAAATAATAACTGGGCGGCCCAGAACATGAAAATAAAATGTCTGATTCGATTATCTCCGTAGAAAGGGAATCAAAATATTTAGGACTTATATTTGACTCGCAGTTGAGGTTTAGATCTCAAGTGAGTAAAGTGGTCAGGGCATCGTTCATCTCCTTAAGAAACCTATACAAAAACAAAGATTTTCTAAACTATAAATTAAAAAAGCAATTATGTGAGGCTCTTGTATTATCACAGTCCAATTATTGTAATTTTGTTTACGGGCCTTGTCTCGATCAAAAATCTAAGAGACAGTTACAGAAAGTACAGAATTCATGTATTCGCCTAATATACGGATTAAGATCGAGAGACCATGTTACATATAAACTAGATATGTTGAATTGGCTAAATATTGAAGACAGACAAAAGTTACATTTTGCATGTTTTTTACACAGAATTTTGCGGAATGGGTTTCCTGAGTATTTAACTAATAAACTTAAATTTCGATACTCTAACTATGCTATAAGGCAGTGTAATAATATGGAAATTCCCAAACATCGCACGGCGCTATATCAGCGTTCTTTCTCCTACCTGGCAACCAAGATGTACAATTCCAACTTGAATCTATACTCCCTTGATTTAAAGACGTTCACTTTCAAAACAAAATTAAAAACTTATATGTTGAGCGGATATAGAATTACACAATAATTTGATTTATTAATTTTTGTATCCTTTACGGAACAATTTTCATTTTTTACTGTTTTTGCTTTAACTTATTAAGTTGTTGATTTTTCCTTATCTAAAGTATATTGTTAATTTTCATTTTTCTTACTAATTCTTTTTTCTTTGAATGTTATTTTTTAAAAATGTATTATATTATTTACTTTTTTTATATGCTCGCTTAACTTAACAGCTCTGCTGAATTTCGCCGAGTAAAAAATAAAGACGTTATTTATTTATTTATTTATTTATTTAGAGTAACACTTTGGTAATGTCAAATTTAGAGTGACAATTTTGAGTTTGCCTAACGATTAACATTAATTTAAAAATAAATCCCCAACATGAATAATTAACAAAACATTTAAACAAAACCAGACCACAGATCACACCGAGGACCACACAAAACAAATTGTTGGTTAGTAGCAGTTAGTAGTAGTCAGAGATATAGATGTAGAGTGTCATTTTCTATCGAATAAAGTAAAAAAAATACCAAGTCTGTTATTTAACAATCAAAAGTTGTAGTCAATTAGTTAATTGATGATATAAGGATGATATTTCCCATATAAATTTACATATAAAATGACAGCGATCTTTATTTTATAGCCATCGCTGACGCCGTTTTTTTTTTCGACCATACTGATTGATGTAATCTTTCAGCATATTACCATTATAACTCGAGCCAATTAATGACGTCTAGAGATTGACCTCGCCAAAATTATCAACGATTGTCCTCCAACCGTCTTTGACGCCGTTTTTTTTCGAACGTGTGGTAGGTACTTTTTTTAATTATTTTATTGCATAATAAAACTCAAATTAAAATTAAAGGTCAAGAATAACGTTGGCGTTTCCTATAAACAAATATTAGATTAATCTGCATTGTATTTCAGTTTAGGCTGATTTAAATTTTACTTTGCGAAGAAAAAGACCATTCACTTAGTTCGATGATAGCGCAAATTTCCAATGCGTCCGGCTTTCCAATCATACTTAAATACCACAGAAACCACATCGCAGCTGTTTTCTCTTGTTCATCCAAATACATCTTTAAAAAGTTCAATTTTCCCTTGTGGATGTCATCGACAATTAAGGCTACTGAGACTGAGGTTAGACATGTTAATCATTCAGGTATTTAGGTCACCGATTCGCGTAAATTAAAAAATGAATTGTTTTCAATGTATTCTTATGACGACGACGACGACGGCGATGAGAGTACCTATGAATGGATTGTAATAATTTTGATAACAATGTCAATATTACTCACATTATGATACGTATACAAAGACAAAGGTTGGTTATTATTCTTGTTTCTATTATACCTACCTAGTAAAACTTTAAATCCACAATGAAATAAAAATAACAATATACCATATACCTAGTAGAAGTCTAGACAAAACTGCAATTGAACAGGTGGTACCTGGATAATGCACGTTTATAAATAAAAGGAAAGTTTCAGTTCCTGGGAATTTTATGGTCGAAAAAACACTAAAAATTGAGATCTAGGGTAACGGTTATTAGTGAACTGAAAAGCATAAAAAATGCGTTTATGTCTACCAATTGTCGAAAGTAATAAACAAAATAGAAGTTTTTCTTTTTGGCACGAAAAATTTCAAGGACAGAGCACTTCTAAATTTCATTCAAAATAAACAACCGACCTAAAAATAAAGACAGTGCCATTGTTCCTTAATGTTTATAAGCGCATGAAATAGATGGATATTTTAAGAGATGTAGATGCAAGATGCCTTCATTTAAAAGCTTAAGCATAGGTAGGTACCTAGCTTAGAACTTACCTATGTTTTTTTTTTATTACCATAAAGAGAAATTGATGTACAGTTTAGATACATAAAAATGTAGGTTTTATAAACGGTACTTACAAGATTCCTGAGCATTTGGTGCAAACGAAAGATCCTATTGTAACATTTACGTAAGTGGGGCCCCTTTGGCCACAGTCAAAGCAGAACTTGTTTTGAGGTAAAGAGCCTAGTTCCCTGAGAGTTTTCAGGTTATTTTCGTCTTGTTTTTTTCGCGACGATGCCATTTCACTGCACTATATACACTATAAAAAACAATTCCGTAAAAATAAAGAATAAACTAGCTAACACAACCACTACGTTAGCGAAAAGCAACTAACTAAAATTCGCTTTGTTGTCAAGTTTGTATTTTGTCTATCAATCACTATGGCGCAACGTTGCCGGACGTACGGAAAAATCATATATTATTCTTAAATTATAATCCCATTACCATAGCCATTACGTCCAAAAATTTATTGTAAAATGTTCTATAATAAAACAGTCGGTAATTCTATGCAATAAGAAATATTAGCCTATATAAAACAAACCTTTTTTACGACTTATTATTGTGTGTTTTAAATAATTTTAAATAAAGTAAAAATAAGGAAAGCATGCGACATCTACGAGCAAATATGAAAGGCTCACTTTTCAAACAACAGGTGTCTAAATTTGAAACTGAAAATAAAGAAATTTGGCAACAGTGGCTAGCATTGACAGAATTCCAAATTTCCTCTCTCTCTCTTCAATTTCCAAACGTCAAAACCGCTGTCGGTGTCTTTTAATATTGGAATTCTGATCAGATTAAAATTTAATTTTTAGATACTCTTTTTGAGTCGGATTTTTAGGGAATCCGTTGCAAGCGCTAAATTATTTTCTGACATTAAAGGGAAATGGATTAAATACCTAAATAGAAGTCAAATGGTGACATGGATTAGTGTTTCCAATGTCGTCGTCCAACTCTGCTATGGATGTTGATGGGGCCCCTGGGAATGCCCCTGGCCCTTTAAAGAGAAGTTCTAGTGCTCCAATGATTAATGAAGCATCTAGTTCAGCTATGACATCTGCTAGTTCTAGTAATTCAACAGCCAGGTACCTATAATAGATACTATTTTTATATACTTATTATTAAATGATTTGAATTTTAAAATAAGCGAATGTTCCCAATTTTTGTTGAATTATGTTTTACAGAAGTTACTGATAAAGCACCAATCTGTATTAAATTTAGTATGTTCTTATCAGAGTATTACTGTAAATGTACGTTTCTGTATTCTTTGCTGTATGTAAATTTCTCATAATTTTTTAATAGAATTTAAATAAACAAGTAGTCTAGACATTTGACATGGTCACTGCTATGTTAACTCTATTTTAAAGTTTTATATTGCTTAATAGTTAAATGTCTTTAAAAAACTATATACCGGGATGTTACATTTTAAATATTTTGTTTAAAAGCAAGTCAGTCATGTTAAAACACCATTATTAGTTACACTTCTTTTTAAAAAAATTGTTAAAAACTCGTTTAAAACTCTGTTTTAAACATGTTTAGTGTGTAAGATTGTTTTTTATTTCAATAAAAAATATGAATATAAGACGTTCTCTCAACTATTTAATAAAGAAACTAGTACTAAAGGAATAAAACAGAGTAATCACTTCAACCTAATATTGTCTGGAAAAATAAATCTTTCAACTTGTAATAGAAAAAATGTTCCTAACTCGGATAACAGAATTCATAAGAAATATGATACTAATCACTTTAAGCTACTACTACTCTATGCTACAACGCAGAGATTACCTACCACAAAAGTGTTGATGTTTAGAGAAAAAAAAATTGCTACCTTTTCTATATACACTATGTAGTTTAAAAGAGCGTTCATATAAAACAAGTTCTTCAAACACGATCCAGACTTGAGTATTGAAACCATGCTTAAAACAGTAGAAAGTGTTTTAAACCATAAAAAACACATGTTTTGTTAAAAATAAAAAAAATTATTTTTTCAACTCAGGTATAAATATACAAGTACCTAGTCTAGACATCCAACACGATCACTGGTATTATTATGATCGAATAAAAACGGCGTCAGCGATGGCTATGAAATGCAGATCGCTGTCATTCTATATATGTAAATTTATATGGGAAATGTCATCGATGTTCATTTCATAGCCATCGCTGACGCTGTTTTTATTCGATCATACGGTATTTTAACTCCATTTTAAAGATCTACATATGAAAAAAGCGTCCAGTTGGCTTGGAAATGACGATCGATGACGTTCCCCATATAATTTTTCATATAAAATATGACAGTGCTCTTCATTTCATAGCCCTCTCTGACGCCGTATTTTTTTGATTTGGCGCTGTATTGATAATTAAATATCTATATCTATAGTTAAAAAAATACAATTACACTTAATAGATTATGTTTTATATTTATAGTAATCAACCATCTTTCAACAATTTATTTGGCACAGTAAATGCAACAAGAACTAGACGCTTCAGTGCAAGCTTTAGTCCAGTACCAGGCTCTCCAGTATGTGTTCCAACAAAGTTTTGTTTTTGGTTTAATCATTTTTTCTTTGTTTTGCCAATTAGGTATCGGGACCAAGAACACCAAGAATAAATCAGTTGAGACAAGAAGAGCATGAAGTCGTATCTAATTCTCGTGAATTGGCTCACGAAAAAGAAATCCACAGTGCAATGCAAATTTCACAATCATGGGAGGATCTTAGCTTGATAGAAAATTCAAATGAAACCAAGAGCAATCGAATGGGGCCCATTCATGTATCCTTACCATCTAATAGTTTTATGTCTAATTCTCCATCGCCTACAAGGTAAGAAATAGATAAAAAGTACATTAAGGAAATTTGCTAAAACAGTATACATATTTTAGGGGTTATGGATTTCAAAGTCCAACAAGATCGAAACAAATATTTATTAGACGTAGTGAAAGTCCTGTGCTTCGTCCAAGCCCACTAGGTGTAAAGCGAAAAATTGATGATAAGGATGTTGATTTTCACACTAGTCCAAGAGCAAAAAGGGTATATAGTTATTCAGCTAGTGATAGCAGAGGTCTCCTTACAACCACATCAAATTCACTGCCAGGTATGAGCATTTAGTAACAGCTTCTTCCAAATAATATATTTTTTGTATTTGATAGGATATATTTCTACAACAAATACCAGAATTTGTCTCAATACTATTGTGTAAGAAATTATAACAAAGTTAACGTCTTGGCGTTGATTTTTATTTTTTATTTAATTACATTTTTATTTAATTACATTCATTCAAATAGAAGTATAGAAGTAAAAGGTAAACAGACTTTTCTATAATGGGTTACATTTGGAGGGTCCAGGGGAAAAAATGGTAAACGCCATTTTACTAATTTTACAGGAGAGCACTGGAAGGCTGATGGTTATCAGGTAGTTTATTCTATATTTTTACTAGGCATATTTATTGCCCTGCAGAGTTTATACTTTTTGTAGGGACCAGTTAGACCTACTATAATATTGTAAAATCCAAAGGTAAAATCCTAACATAGAAATTGGCGCTTATCAAGTTTTTCCCCTGGACCTTTCATTTGTAGCTCAATAAATTTATTTAGCGTATGGCGTACATGGATTTAATTACAACATCAAATGTATATATTCAAACACAATATAACATGTAAATAGATTGTCACAAATTGTAAAAATAAAACTAGAAATCTAAAAATTTATAAAAAAAATTTATACACAAAACACATTACAAAAGTACACTTAAATTTTAAAATCGAGGCTATTGATCCAGTTCAACACAGTGTCTGTGACTTCAAAGAAATCACTCGCTTCTCCTTCACATGCTGTAAGAGGGCATTCAGTTACAATGTGATGAACAGTTTGACGTAGTTCTCCGCAGTCACAAGTCGGTGATCCGGTCAGTCCCCATTTATAAAAAGAATCACGACGTATACCATGAGACGTTCTTACCCTATTGAGTACCTTCCACTCGTGGCGGGGCAGCTCCATCCCTGGTAGAGCTGCTGTAGGGTCGATGACATAAGCTGCTTGATCTGGTTTCAAAGAGTCCCAGTACTCCCTCCATTTATCATTTATACTGAAGTTTTCTCCCAAAAGTTGTTCTGCTAATAGTAGTGGGGGGGATCTAGACCAGTCTCCGCAGACGGGCATCTGGTTGTGGACTGGGAGATGGGGATTTGATAATATTTTCTCATATTCCTTAATGAGTCTTTCCTGTCTTCGAATACTGGGAGGTGCAATATGACTCAGAGTGGGTAGCCAAGGTAGAGGTGTGCTTTTTAAACAGCCGCTGACTATTCTCATAGTCTCATTAAGTTTGGTGTCAATTATCTTTATGTGGCAGCTGTTTAGCCAAACTGTAGCGCAATATTCAGCAACTGAGTAAACTAGGCTGAGAGCTGATGTTTTAAGAGTGGATGCCTTTGCGCCCCAAGTAGTACCGCAAAGTTTGTGTATTATATTATTTCTAGTTTTTATTTTAGCTGCGGTATTCTCTAGATGCCTTTTATACGAGAGTGTTCGGTCCATTGTTACTCCTAGATATTTTGGATAAGGGTTATAACGTAGCAAGTTGTTATTGAAGTATACATGGGGCTCCAGGCGTGCTTGTTTATTATTGAGATGAAAGCACGACACTTCAGTTTTATTCATATTTGGGACTGGTCTCCAGTTTGCGAAATATTTTCCCAGCACAGACAGGTCTTCTGATAGTAGGCCATTAGCTTCCCTCCCCCCCCCCCTTGCCGCCCTTTTACTGCGGGTGGCAAGAGCTAAATCGTTGGCATACCCAAAGGGCCTGTCGGAGGAGGAAAATACCATGTATCCTCCGTTATGGGAACAGGTTTAGTATAAAATTTATTTTTATAATTGTTGATACATAGTGTCCCAGTTTCCCGCAAAATGGGGAAACTGGAACTTCCCTGTTTATATTATGACTGGTTTGTTAAAGCATTTATATGTATAGGTAAACTGGGTAAATTCTAGTCATTTGGTAAATTATATCCCCTAAATTCATATTAAAATAATTATTTTTTCTATTTATTTTTCATGTTGATAAATTTATGCGTTTAAAAGACAGATTTGTCAAATATTAACAAAAAAGATATTGACAAAAACTGTTTAGTTGTGTTTAAAGTACAAAAATAAAATGTATGAACACCTAAATAATAAGTACCTACTAAAACTAAATGACACAAACAAAATAACCCCTGCCCTGGCTGTCAATCTGTAAATGTATTTGGATGTACTGTAGCTGTATTTTTTTTCTAGGGTCTTTAAGTTCAGTTGGAACCCCAGAAAGCCTTTCCAGTGCAGACTCTCCCGGTTCTGGTTTTGCTTTCAGAAACGTCGATAGTCCGTCTCCAACCCTCCAAGGTGGCCAAGGAGAACCTATGATTGTGGGCAAGAATGACCATGATATGACTGAGAGTCCTAGTTAATATGGTGCAATACCGAGTTTAGATTTTTAATTAAAGGTGGCATAAGAGCAAAGAAAAATAAGTGGAAAAATTTAAAATATATTGTGGTAGGAAACTAGACCATTCTTGGTGAGATATTTTGAATATAATCATAGATATAATGAAACATGCTTATTAAAAAATATTCTTTCTATGGGGTGATTCACGGCGATGGTACGTTATCTGTTTATGGAGAACCAGTGATATTATTTTTTTTTGAAAATTTGGATTTTTACATAAAAGCACCTGCTCGCGCATGTTCGCGGCTCGTTTCCCGTTCGAAGTCGGTATTTTTGGCCGCTTCAAAGAGTTCGCGCCCGTGAAACGTGAACGCTCTCCACATTCACGACGTGCTGTGCATAAAATCTATTTAGAGATTACATGTTTATAGTGCGTGTCGCTGGTGTAATTTTTTAGCTTTGTTTTTGGTTTTTTATCTGACTGTGTGATAATAATTTAGAATTACAATTTTTGGAACAGTACCAAAAAAAAAGAACCTGTCTTATGGGATGTCATACATAGAAAATACAAAGAGAAAAATAGAATTAGCAGTTATATTATTATTTCATCTTTTCTTCTGGAAGGCGTAAACACTACTGCGAACAATCCGGCGTTTAACCATAGTTTTTTTATTGCAAATAATTAATCTTCATTCAATTTTATGACACCCGTATTTTTTATTTTACTTCAATTTCATCCCATTTAAAAAAAAATAATCAATATTAAGAATTTCAAATTTACACTTTTGCAATCTCTGACGTCACCTATCAAAAGTGTCACGGTTTGCCACGAGGTACAAAGGTAAATAAAAACCATTTTTCTAAATGTATTTTAAAGTAGATATAAAATTAATTGTAAAATAAAACTTAAGGAACTTACGTTAAAACGATCTTCACGGCAAAATATCGTACTTTTGCTGACATATTGTTGTCTTGCCGCTTCAAACCAGGCTCTTCGACGGCTTTCATCCAAAGGAACAGTTATAAAAACTTTTTCTGGAGAGACTTCAGAGTTATTTAGACAGCCCTTCACAAAACAAACTTTAACACTCTTCATTACAAAAATAATAAAGAGGGTACAATAAAACAAAATTGAAAACTCAAAGTATTTAACGCCAAACGCAAAATCCACAAAATACAAATCTAACCTCGAACCCTCGAACAACTGGTAGTGTTTAGTGCTTCGATAAAAATGGCAGTAACCTGTTAATTATAAAAATTTAAGTTTTAATTTCTAGTAGTAAAAAATATAAGAGTAAATTTAATATTGGGGTAATAAAGAATAATCCTACATAAAAACGTATTTTTTAACGATCATAATAAAAATAGAAAAATCTAACGTGATTTTAAGATATATTGTGTAAATACTGTAGCAGAGAACTAGACAGGCCATAATATTATTCTTCAAAGGCTCGCGCCCTCTGTCAACTGTTCAGTCGAATGCTGATAGGTGACGTCACAATTTTCTATGCGTCATTTCAAACCAGTGAAATTTGTATTGAATTTGATTTATTATTTATTCCTTAATTGTAACTTCGTTGCATTTCTTTTTGTATTGAGGGAGTACTTTTTAATCACTTCAATTGAATTTTATATGAAAAATAACAACAATTTACTATGGTTAATCACCGCATTGCGAGTGTGGGTGAGAAGTTCGGATCCGCAAAATTCAAGGCCAATCACGGTTTTTCACGGCGCGAGTCTGGAGCCGGCATAAAATTGACAAAAACGTGATTTTGAATAAGCATTGGTAAAGTCATTTATCGAATATTTTTAGAGTTGACATTTGGGTTATAAGTTAACTGAAGTCGATATATTCGGTGTGCCTAAATCAACCGATTGGATATTACACAGGAAGAGTAAAAACAAATTATTTCCGTTTGTTACAGAATTGACCAAATATTTGTTATTTTAAATACAACCCTATGTATATATTTTTTAAAAATCAAAAGGCTAATAAAATTGCTTTTCAACGATATATGTTCCTATACCTAAATAACCTACCAGGTTTTTAAGTAGAGCTATTTAAAAATTAAAAAACATAAAATTAAATAATAGTTAATAAAGTTAATTGATACATATAAAGTTTGAATATTTGTCATGGTAACAATTCACTTTAAACGAAAAAATTATAATAGAATGATTATCTTTTTAATCTTTTTATTCAAAGTTTTTAAATTGCTTTACTGATTAAACTAGAATTTTTAGGTATAGGGACATGATATATTGTTGAACAGCAATTTTATTTGTGTTTTAATTTTTTAAATGATATACATAGGCTTAAATTTAAAATAACAGTAATTTGAGGGATTTTATAACAAACAGATTTTTTTTGTTGATCTCATCCGTTGATTTAGACAAGATTTAGACAGATCGAATATGTCGACTTTCCTTAACCTATAAAAAATAATTCAGCTTTCAATATGCCGAATTCATGATTTAAATGGATTTAACCAAACCATGCTTTTAGCTCCAACCATGCTTTTAGCTCGTCTTGCTTGCACTGTGTTAAGTTGTAGTACAAGACGGAACGCACTCAATCCCACACACCCCGTTTTAAGCGCAGTTTTCTCTTCAGTCAAAAACCCATGGATTGTGAGAAATTAGCTTTATGTGCAGCAGCAGTTCTAATCATAAAAAAGAAAAAAAAAAGAGAAACCCTGAAAAATGTGGTCCAAATCAAAACACTGTAAGCTGCTTTTTTATTTTTGTCTGAATATTCCTTGCTCTTACTTTTTCACAAACATTCATGTTTTTTATATAAATCAATAAAACCTGAGAGAAACTGTCGCAACATCAGTCTCAGATCAGTCATATTTCCAAAATAAGAAGCGCAGCTAACATGCATAACACTATAAACAAGACGGACAACGGGATACCTCTCACACACCGCGTCTTGCATTATAACTTAAGCCTGTGCAAGCAAGACAAACGAAAAGCACGAGTGTCTGGGGCGGCAACACTCTAATGCTGAAAATAATTTAGACAGATGAAGCAGGCCTTTATGTAAAAATCCATATTTTCAAAAGAATCCTATTACCGGTTCTCCATAAACGTCTAACGTGCCATCGCCACAAATCACCCTGTATATTGTGAATCTCAGCTTAGTGTATATTAGAAAGTGTCTTTAATCTGTCTTCTTTAATTACATTGAGACTATAATTAATTGGAGATTATATTCTAATTATTTTTTTTTATTTTCGATTTTTTACCTAGTGAAATGTTTTATTTTTCAAATTTATTAATTAGTAAAAAATTTCCAGTTTATAATAATTTTTAACATCAATTTACGGAGCTGTCTTTATTAAATTTTGTAGAGACAGTTGTATCACTAATCGTTATCAAGCTAAAACTGAAAAACACCAGTTTGTAGCAATTTACAGAAAAGTATGGGCATGGTTATGATATATAGGTATTTTTAATGGCATATCTCAATATTCACATACATTTTTCGAATATTCATTTCAAACTGTAATTCTGTATTTTGCACATATATCTGATATTAATGCAATTAGATACTAATTTTAGAATAGAGGAAATAGTAGACTAGGTGAACAGATATTCAAAATAATATATTCTCTCATTTGCACAATTATTTATTAAGGTATCTAATAAAACTTACCTGTTCTGAAGACAGATGTAAAGATGATCAAAATCTAAAATATACCTTAACTTTTTTTTGTAGGTAGTGACAATTATTTTATGATGTATATGCTACAGCGAAAGTCGGAAATCGTTGTTTAATTTTTAATAATTATTAGTTAAAGCTTACATTCACTGATTAAATTACTAGTTTGCGATATTCTTATTAGCCATTCACTGATTTGCTAACACTACGCCAGTAAAAGTTCAATAACTAATTTTGCAACAAACTCTTACTAGTGAAGCTTACTTCTTATACTTAATTATGTTCGCTTTGCTATTTGACTAGTTTCTAGCAGCTACCAGTAAGTGATATTGATAAAGTGGCCGACTGAAAATTTGACGTGGGACATTCAATTTTAAAATAAATATATTCAAAGCAACCATATTCATATTAAAATTAAAACCAAAACAAGAGGAAAAGGTTAAAAAAAGCAATCAAAACTCATTTGTGCAACTTTATGTTTAATGATAGCCTGTTACCCGGCAGCGGCTAGACGATTGAAACTTTTTAAGGTTAGGTATAAAAGCAAATATTTTAATTTTGGTGTTTCTGTTTTATTATCGTTTCGTTGTAATTTTAAGATGAGTGGATCGCCTTTAATATGGAGGTGATTCAATGTTCTTAAAACTTTTATTTGTTCCAACTTTTCCACCAATGCGCTCCCTATTATACAATAGAATACCTTTTATTGACAGCTTTTAGTAAATGATATAGTCATGTCATTAGGAATTCCTAAAACTTATAAGTTCACTGGTCCAGTGCATAATTATTGTTAATGTTTCCCAGTAGCCTTTAGCCTTGTTTATACACGTTTGGCAAAGCTACTGTTAGCAATAGGAGATTCTCAATGCGATAAAAAAAGATGGCACGGCTGCAGTCTACCCTGCAGTGTAACAAAGACAGATAACTGTATCATATACCTCTGTTTTCTCTTCCACTGATTAGAAGAAGTGACACGATGAGTGAGAAGATTGCTTGAGGGGGCGGGGGCGGGACCACAAGCGTCTGCTTCGCGTCGGCGGTGAGTAGCAGAACAGGGTTGCCAGATTTGTTAGATAGTAAATTTATTTCTTCCCTATTTGATGATCTTTTATTTATAAATCAAAAGCTTTATTAAATAAAATAATTAGAAAATTATATAATAAATTATAATATTTAAGTACAAAATTAGCATTTCTATGTGTTCCTAAAATTGAACATGCAAATAAAGTACAAACAAAACAAATATAACAAGAATTAAAAATAGCTAGGTATAATATGATTTAATATAAAAAAATCTTATTAACTTAAATAATATTAATATATTAATAAAAACATTTAAAACTAACAAGTAGGGGTATCAGTCACTTTTTACCTTTGTACAAAGTTGGTTAACTCATATCTGTTAACATAGCTGTTAACTCTCAACTCTCTTCTTATTAATATACTTTTTAAACAGAAGAGGCACACAAATATTTGTCCGTATTTAGCTTGTTTCTTAACTAGAGTTTGTTCTTTGTTTATTTTTTGGGGGGAGAAATGCGGGTTCAACTTTAGTAAATGAATGAGACAAAATATTTTCTAAATATATCATCTTCGGAAATGCTGGCAATACAGCACATAATCAAGGATAATAAGAATTTTTGAGAATGTCTCCGTAATTCTGCGACCAGATAGAACGATGACCTATAATTTCTAAACAAAATTTAATAAACAATACTATTTACGAATGTCAGAATATAGGGTTTACGATGCGATAGTAGCTTAATTTTTAGTCCAAATGTGTCAGATTTTTAAAAGTGCTTCTATTGTAAAGACTAAAGACGCAGTTGAACATATCGCTAGACTTTTTTTTGTAATCGGTAGATCGGTAGCTTACAGACGAAAGCGGTGACCTGGCAACTCTGTGGCAGGTAGATGGGAGGAGGCGTGGAGGCGGTCCTATTTCCAAAATTTGTTGTCTTATTGGAGTTTGTCTAACTCGACAGTCGTAGTGGAAGTGGAAACGGGGAAGTTGTTGTCCATCTCTGTTTAAGCTTAGACTTTTTATAGGCGTTTCATTCCAATGCATGTAATTCCTATGCGTAGATATCAAGTTACCAATCCTGTATATTAACTCTAGTTATTCAGCGTGAGTTAGCTCTGAGAGTTCACTGATAGATAAGTGGGACAATCGCAAGAACGGTAAACTAATAAGAATTATTAACCTAATAAGTTTACTGTTCTGACTAATAAGAATTATTAACTTAATAAATTTATCGTTCTTGCGATTGTCCCACTTAATTAGAAATTCAAATTTTTGAAATTCCTGCGATGCAATTCTCGTAGCCATCTATCAGTGAACTTCCAGAACTAACTCACGCTGAATAACTAGTTAATATACAGATTGTTAACTGGACGGTTACTTATTGGGGAACAGAATGGCAACACTACCTACATTCCAAATGAGTACTAGTACTAAGATTACAGTTGAGGGTTGGAACCTTTGGTGTTACACAGCAAAATAAAAACACTAAATCACCACAATACACCAAAACACTTTTACTTTTACACTGGACGCGCGTTTCGCTAACCATGTTAGCATCATCAGCAGATGATTATAAACTCATAATAGTAGTTTATAATCATCTGCTGATGATGCTAACATGGTTAGCGAAACGCGCGTCCAGTGTAAAAGTAAAAGTGTTTTGGTGTATTGTGGTGATTTAGTGTTTTTATTTTACTAGTACTAAGCTAAGCTGACGACTCGTCTCGTCCGTCGCGTCGTCTCTCGACGAGCGGGTCGAGGTTGCCATATTTCAACCATAAAGCTCTTGCCGCGAGTAAAAAACAAATTAACAACCTGTATAAACAAGGCTAGTAGGATTTCCGTACGTCCGGATTTACCCGGACATGTCCGGATTTCTAAAGTGGCGGACCGCCCCGGATTTGGAAAAGCATGGTCGCAAAACAATTTAACTTAGTAAAATATTTTAATCGTTACATAATTAATTTCTCACTTTGCTGAATATTTTAGTTTCTACGATGCTACAGCTCTACTTAACCGACGCACGTTCGAAATCCATGTTCTATTTATATATTTTTCAGTTTTGGTGCACTCCTAGAAAATGAACGTTTTTTTTTGGTTTATAATTTTTTGGTTCCGGGGCTATTATTTGCGTCCTATAAAAGTTCATAAGTAAATGTATAGTTACTTTTTTGCGACGTCCGGATTTCAGAGTTCATTTGTCCGGATTTCTTAGTTCACTTGTCCGGAATTTCTAAAAGCCTTTATAGAAACCCTATTTCCTAGTGACTTTCACTGTAACATACACACTCAGCCAATTAAAAGTATATTTATTTCAAATTTTTGTTATTTTTGAATTTTAAATCATATTACATAATATATTAGATTATAGTATAATTTGTTTTACATGAGCAAATTCAAAAATGTATTATTTTTTACTTTGTGTAATTGTTAAGTTGTTACTATTTATAGCAATTTAATTTTAACAAAAGTGTAATATATTTAGTATAAATTTAATTTTAAGCTTGTATTTAAGTAATTAGTGTGTTTACAGGGTGTGTGATACTCTACGTACTCCCTGTCAAGATTTCTTGTTGCCATATTATCTTTTTAACAATATTTACACCAATCACCAAATTGGTGTGCTGTTACGCATAGCCCTTTGGAAATATAAAAAAAACTAAAATTTTTATTAGCAACTTTTGAAAAGGGTAATAAATTTGTGTGAATCAAAAATAAAAATATACACTCATCGGCACGTAAAACGGGCACCTTAAAATTTTGATGTATTTTAAAGTTTTATATATTGTGTTCTAGTGGACCGATTTTGACGATCTTTTAAGCAATCTGCAGCTAAATTATTTGACTTTTTAGTGTCTCTTTCTAAATTAAAAATGAAGGTCCCCATCTGTCAATTATAGGAGGGATCACAAAAGGTTGTAATTTTGGTGAAAGTTTGGAACACCCTGTGAAATATGTTTAAAAAGCTAGGAACTTAAAAATAATTTTATTATCTACGTACATCTTTTCTCGATAGTTTGATTTTCGGTTCATCTCAATAGCTTTATTTTTGTGGGAGATATGCGCTTTTGAAGAAGACACTAACATTTTTTCGTAATTTTTACATTAAAACCATGCCTTTACTTTTGGTCCCAGTCAACAGACCTATGAATGTACAATAGTAGCTTTGTACGGGTTCTTATTACCGATTCTGAACTGTCCTAGAACTCTGCCGCGCATGCGCTAATGAAATAATTTCTCCATATTTCCTTCTGCGCATGCGTATCACAGTTCTAGGACGGTTCAGAATCGTTAATAAGAAAAAAAGTAAATAAGAAGTAAGCTAGTGTTTATGATTTATGTAATGCCACTCTTATTGAAAAATCATATTGTTATTGTCTGTTTGTTGTTGGATAGTTACTCTAGTAGAGATGGGGGTTTTAAGTCCAGAAGCTATATCCGCTATAGTTGGTTTGGTTTTAACTGAAGGTGATAGAGATCAAAATTATGTCGCTAACAGATTTAGGTGTTCACGAAATATAGTGTAGTAGCTTCCTCGAGACAAGTTCACATGCTAGATGTCCAGAAACCGTGGTAAGAGACAGTGGCGGACTAAGCCTGTCGGGAGCCCGGGGCGGCGAAGCTAAATGTGGCCCCCGGTCTGTTCAGATAATGATATACTTCTAAAAAAAAGCGCACATTTTGTAAAGATGGAATGACGTATGTATAATGGTTGACAAAATTCAAGTATTTATACAGGGTGTCCCAGGCTGAGCGTGCATTAGAAGTTTCTAGAGAAATACAATATCTAGATCGGAGATTTTTTGCACATCATTGTTTCACAACGAGATCTATCGATTAAAATCATTTTCAATATGGCGGCACTTACGGAAGTACCGGAAATTGACAGCAACTTTCTTATTTTAAACGGATGCCCTCATTTTTTTACATATTTAAATTTTCTGGAAAATTTTATGAATTTTGATATAAAACACTCTATATCTAACGTTAACTGTTTTTGAGGAAAAAAAATATTTATAATTTTTGGACAAAAGAAAATTCTTGTCAAAAATATGTGTATAGCCTAAATGTCAAATTTAGTGATTACCACAGTCACTGTACCATAAAAAGAAGACGTGGCTATCTATTTCAAAAATTAAATTTATCTGAATAAAGCATTGTGGCCGAATGTCATATAATAATGGCCGCAGCTGTCATGGAATTGAGCGATTAAAAAATTGTCATAAATCATTTTTCTCAAATGGAAATCTAGTTTTTTTATTTCACTAGTGAAAAGGCTTTTCAATTAATTACTTTTTGACTATACATGTTCCTATACCGAAAATAAATCGTTCTTAAGTTATTTAAGATTTAGTTAAAAGCGTATATTTTTCTTGATTTTAACCAGTTGGCCTATGACTTTAAACGTCAAGTCATATAAAACCATAGATCTGGCCATGTCATATTGTGAAACTTTGAAATCATTTCCAAGTCAACTTTGCGCTGTTTTTTTTTCGATCATACGGCATAAAATTATTAATAATATCAACTATTAGATATCACTAAAGATCGAAAATACGAGATATATTTTTATAAATACACTTCTTAAACTTTAAGCAGCTGTATTTATAATATAGGAAATTCAAATAATTCGTTTTCTGACAGATGGAAATAAATGATCTGACTGTTTGACACTTAATGTCAAAAGAAGCTAGATTTTATATAGCTTCCTTTGACATTAAGTGACAAGAAAAATATATCTTTTCAAACTAAATCTTAAACAACTTTAAAACGATTTATTTTAGGTATAGGAATATGTATGGTTAAAGAGTAACGACTGGTAACGAATTGAAAAACCTTTTCACTAGTGAAATAAAAAAAGTGGGTTTCCTTTCAAAAAAATGATTTATGTAATGCTAGTAATTCAGCCACCGCCATTATTATATGACATTTGAACAATTTAGTTTTTAAAATAGATAGCCACATGCCTTCTCTTTATGTCACAGTGGCTGTGCTCGCTAAATTTGACTTTTAGGCTATACAAATTTTTTTGGCAGGTAGTTTTTTCGTTCAAAATTTCTAAATATTTTTTTTTCTCAAAAATGGTTAGTGTTAGGTATAGAGTGTAACATCAATATCCCTAGAATTTTACAGAGAATAAAATATAAGTATGTAATAAAAATGGGGGCACCCATTTAAAATAAGAAAGTTGCTGTCAACTTCCGGTACTTCCTAATAGTCAACTAAATTAGAGGTGGCAAAATTAAATAATAATTCCCCACAATACATAAAACTCTAAGATTTAATCATCTGCTGATGATATTAACATGGTTAGCGAAATGCGCGTCTAGTGCAAAAATAAAGTATTTTGGTGTATTGTGGTGAATTAGTGTTTTATTTTGCTGTTGTAATACCAAAAGTTCCAAACCCAACTGTAATAAATTAGAGGGATTAAATTATTGAAATCCCCGAGCAAATGTTCGCTTGTATTTAATGGCAACTTATGATGACAAAGTGATGGAAATATCGGTTCCACAAATGAGCCGCGTTACTTTCGCGACCGTTCCAGGGAAATACCGCTACAAAATATCGCGATTTTGTCGCCTAAAGTCCTCTAAAATTCGAGGGGCCCCTTCGCTGTCTCAGACTCGTGGCCCCCGTTATACTAAAGACACGGCAGTACTTACCATCGCATCGGTTAGAAAACTAGAATAAAAGTTCTGCTGTGCATTGGTTGTAATTTAAAATGTTTATTCAGTAAAAATAAATAATGAAACCATTGAAATATAACTTAAAAGCTAAAGTAAATAAATTCAAGTTTATATTCATAATTGTTGTAATTTTTAAAATGATAAAAAATAATAATTATTCAATACTTTAAACAAAGAAAATTACCCCTTGATTTAATTTCCTAAATAGAAAATGCCATTGAGAATTACTGGGGCCTGATAATTGGGAATTAAGTAAATATCTGCTTCTATTTATACTGTTTATAGTTTGCGTATACATATGGTTTGCATACTCCACCTACAAATTGCTTCATAACTACTGAACACATATTGGTTTTGTTCGCCAGTTGAATAAAAAATTACTTATTGAGATTTGAAGGCCCCCTAAAAGACGGGGCCTGGGGCGGACCGCCCCTTCCGCCCCTCCCCTTAGTCCGCCACTGGTAAGAGAACTTCCAATCGAGACTATCGACTTATTGTAGGTTTATCGCTAAGAAACCGCCGCGCCGTTAGCTAGCTTTTCAAATTTACAATTAATTGCACCCAAGGAACGTCCATGTAATTGTGGATGTAATTAAAATGGTCCATGTAATTAATGGACTGTAAGAAGATTAAACGAAGTAAATCTTATGTCAAGAAGGCTTGCTTTGGGACCACAACTTACTAGGTCTCTTGATTAGTACCAAAAACAAAGGCATGGTTTTAATGTAAAAATTACCAAAAAATGTTAGTGTCTTCTTCAAAAGCGCATATCTCCCACAAAAATAAAGCTATTGAGATGAACCGAAAATGAAACTATCGAGAAAAGACATATTTAGGGGATAAAATTGTTTTTAAATTCCTTGCTGTCTTAACATAGTCCACAGGGTGTTTTCAAACTTTCACCAAAATATCAGCACTCTGTTTTCCCTCGTATATTTGACATATGGAAACTTATTTATTATTAATTGTATTGTAGAAAGGGATAATAAAAAGTCAAATAATTTAGCAACATACTGCTTAAAAAATAATCAAAATCGGCCCACTAGAACAAAATATATTTAACTTTAAAATACATCAAAATTTTAAGATGTCCGTTTTTCGTACCGATGAGTGTACCGGGTGTCCCACTAAGAATAGCTCTCGGCTGTATCTCGGAAAGTATTAGCCGTAAAGCCTGCGGAAAAAAATATTTATAATTGAAGGGGCTCTGAGAAATTGCTGGAAATTATTTTCAAGTTTGTAAAACGGCCGCTAGGTGGCGCAACTGCTATGGAAAATAAGAAAATAGATTTTTTACAGAATTTTGCCTAGATAATGGGTACTGCAAATAATAGCTTCATAATCTTCAGTAAATTTTGGATTTTTTTGTCAGAACGATTTTCCCCTATCTGCTAAAATAAAGTGGTGGGGGAAGGTTAGATCTATCTTTATTTAAATGTTAATAACTCCGGACTGGATGATGACAAACGAGGGCTCGTTTAAAAGAGCGTTTCTTACTCTATATTATGCCATAAAAATAATAATAAGGTTTTGAACGTAGACGCTAGGGGGCGCTTTCTTACAATTTAACAAACATAGCGCGTTTTTTCAAAAAAATTAAATACGATAGTATGTGTTATTATAGCTGATAGTAAAGAGTAGTTAAAGGTTAAAAAGTCAGCGAAAACCGCATTTTGATATCTTCTTTCAAATCGAAGATATTAGAAAAAATAAGCCCTTAATTACCTTATTTTTACAATAAAGTATCAGTAGCCCTCTTGATTAGGCCCATTTTAACAAAAATTAAGATAGAAACAGTTAGTTTATTTTAAAATCGACGAAATACCAGAATACCATAATACCAGATGTATTAATATCTAATAATTAAGATATTAATAATAGTGAACAAGAAACGATGATTCAGTGAAGTCAATTTGACGTTTATACTATTACGTCAAAAGCAACTTTTTTCCAAAGCCTACCATGACTTCACTGAATCATCGTTTCTTGTTCACTATTATTAATATCTTAATTATTAGATATTAATACATCTGATATTATGATATTCTGGTATATGGTCGATTTTAAAATAAACTAACTATTTCTATCTTATTTTTAGGTTAGAATGGGCATAATCAAGAGGGCTACTGATACCGTGTTGTAAAAATAAGGTAATTAAGCGCTTATTTTTTGGTATTTATTATAATTTTGCTAATATCTTCGGTTTGAAAGAAGATATCAAGATGCGGTTTTCGCTGACTTTTTAAGCTTTTACTACTCTTTACTATCAGCTAAAATTACATATACTATTGCATTTATTTATTTTTTTTGAAAAAACGGGCAATGTTTGTTAAATTGTAAGACAACGCCCCCTAGCGTCTACGTTCAAAAGCTTATTATTATTGTTTATATGGTACAATATAGAGTAAGAAACGCTGTTTTAAACGAGCCCTCGCTTGTTGAATTCCGATCATCCAGTCCAGAGTTATTAATATTCAAATAAAAATAGATCTAACCTTCCCCCACCACTTTATTTTGGTAGATAGGGGAAAATGGTTCTAACAGAAAATATTCAAAATTTACTGAAGATTATGAAGCTATTACTTTTATAGTACACCTTATCTAGGCAAAATTGTGTAAAAACTCCATTTTCTTATTTTTTGTTGCAGTTGCGCCCCCTAGCGGTCGTTCTACAAACTTGAAAATAATTTCCAGCAATTTCCCATAGCCTCTTTAGTTATAAATATTTTTTTCCGCAGCCGCTACGGCTAATACTTTCCGAGATACAGCCGAGAGCTATTCTTAGTGGGACACCCTGTACTATGGAATTTTTGTAATAAAATTATCAAATATATATTTTCAAGTTAAGTGTGATACTATGTAAAAGGCCAAAAAACTAATTACCATTAACATCTAAGATCAATTTCAAATGACAAACTCCGTTTGAATATTTGTCATCGAAAACAACTTGTTTTTTTTCTAGTCTTACATCAATATTTTCTTCATTCAAAATTTAATTTCAATTAGGTGTTAAGTTTTTATTTTGGTATATACCAAAAAGTTTGTTTTTGTACATAATAGCTGTACATAACTTGTATATTAGTTTAGATTACTTTATAATTTAGAAAGGGTTTTCCAAATATAGTTTTAAACAATATTATAGCTTCATATTCTTTTGAAAGACCTTTTTTAAATAATGGTATGTAATTAGTTGAGTAGAAAAAATGGGTAAATATATAGATAAGTAAATTTAGCCGAGTTCCCCCTCAGAGTTCATTTTTATAGCCAATATGTGTAAACATAGAGACTGATAATTTTAAATAACCAAATTAAACAGTTAGTTTTTTTGTCTTGTACAATCCCTTTTTATTTTGTGTAATGTTATACATATTTATTTCACAAATAAAACAATCTGGAAAATTATTATCGATGTGTTATTTATTAATGTAATATACATATAATTAATTGTAGGAGATAATCATAAATAAGAAACTAATTTAAGGTTTTCTACTGTTTAGGTTTTTGTTTTTGAAATAATTTTTGTTGGCCTCCTGGTTTATTAGGCCTTCCTCCAAAATTACCTAGAAATAATCATTATTATAAAATAAGTGACAGAAATTATATATTTCTCCTACCTCTAGCAGCAGGCCTATTCCTTTGGTTTTGGCCTCCCCTGCCTCCTTTTTGGTCTCTCGATTGTTTATTCTTTATCATGGTCTCCTCTTTTACCATATCAATGACTTCGTCTGGAATACGCAAGTATTTTATAGTGCTACCCCTAATGTAACACTCTGGCATTCTCCAAAATTTATCACCATCCTAATAATAAAATTTATGTACCTATATCACAAACAAGAATATTAATAATTTACCCTCGATGTGCATATGACTTCTCTGAGATTAATATTCATCCAATTATCACAACTAACTAAATGTCCGTTATATGTTTCTCCATTTTTTAACTCAACTAACTAAAAATTTGTTTTTTTCAGATATAGATACAATATTTAGGGATACTTTATTTTGATGAAGTTCAAAACTTACCATAGGATGATTTTGAGCCGTTCGTAATAGAGATAAAGGTAGCTAGAAATTATTCTGTTAAGAGTACGAGTATCATAATACAAAATATATTCTTACCATTTCTTTTTCTTTTTGAAATAAATAAATAGATCACCAAAATACAAAATACTTTTTATTTTTAATACCGGATGACGTACATAACCTTAAATATTCTTCTTCTTTTTTCCATGTTGGCGCGGCAGCACCAGAGGTCACATAGTTTTTAGATGTAAGGCGATACTAGTGAGTTCTAGTGGTTCGAAACTCTGTATCGTGCTGTTGTCCAAAAAAGGCAAAAGTGTAAAATCTATTAACACACACCGCTCATTCACGCCGGATGAGATCGGATATCTCGTGAGTAAAGAGTCGATTTAGACACTTGCCAAGTCGGTAGGCCATTGACCATGATATGGCCGAGGACCGCGGTTCGGATTCCGCGTAAACAAAATAGACCCCGTCCAGATTAGCCCTGAGAGCAAAAAGGAGACTGCGTTAACTCGAAATCTTTTACATAGTTTTTAGTTTTTTAGTTTGTTTGTTTATTAGACTTAATCTATGGTTATTAGTAATGAGTTAAGTTTAACCACAGGTTTACTGAGTTAAAATTTAACCACCGTGTTAACTTCGTAATCTTCGTAAGCAGTAGCTGGAATAGTGGCTCAGAGACATAGGCTGACATAGGATCTCTGTCTCTGGCATGGGTCTCTGGGCTGGCTGCAAGGCGGGCTGGGCGTTGAAAACATTCGGAACTCGGGGCCACAGTATCTTAAGAAGAAGAACATCATAAGCAGTGATGTCAACTCTACCGATATTTCGGAAGATCTACCGATTTTGAAACCTAAAAAAAAACAATTTTTCCGTTACATATGCATATACAGGGTGGCGCACCTAATTCGCTTCGGTTGATTATATGTAAACGGAAAGATGCAGGAACAAAATAAGTAATTTTTTATGGGTATATGTAGACAGGCAATGTGCATAATTTAAAATTATTTTGAAATGTACAGGGTGTGTCAGAACTAAGATCCATAGCAAAGGTATATTTTTTCTTATGGAACACCCGGTATTTTATTTAATTTTTTGATTCTTTGGCATAAAATAAGGCATTTATTATAAGGGTTTATTATGTTTAAATGCTTTGGTTTTTGAGATATTTAAAGATGTTTAAATATGCATGCTATAATAAAAATGTTTGTCAACACCCTGTACATTACTTTTGAGAATTAATTCTTGTACTGACTTTCAAGCCAGAGAAATAAACTTTACTAAAAAATTTGATCGCTTCCTTAAATGTATACAGGGGTATCAAAAAGTCCTGGTCTATTTTAAATATTTATTTTACATAAAAACTTCGTTATTTCAAATGCAACACTATGTATTTTTTAAAAAAAGTCGAAGCAGATTTCAATACTCTTTCAAACTATGTTAGGGTTTCCTATACCTATCTGACTCAGATTTTGAACAAAAAACGATTTTTCAATAAAATGGCAATCAAGATGGCTGGTGTCGCCATGGCAATTTGCTAGTGACAGTTAGTAACTATTTTCAAAATCGACATTAGTTTATTATTGACTTTATTTAAATTTATAAGTTTACTTTTATTTAATTTACCTACTACAATAGTTTAATAAGTAAGTATTTACTATTTTATGAAGAAAAATAAACAAGTAGTTCTTTGATTTATATTACAATGACTTGTAGAAATTGTTGTGGACCCGTGTGAACCCGGACCGCCCGGTCTAAGCTGACTAATACGCCTGGCGCCGTTCAAAGGCGATTGGAAAATTCTCGGCGGCAACCAATGACTAAAGAATATAAGGACATGTAACGCCTCTATACGAACTGCAGCAGAATTTGTGACCTTTTTTTTTGTTTTGGTGGCAAACAATGAGTCATCATTTGGTCGCCAGCGACAATTTTAGAGATTTTTAATAGTTTGTATGTAGTAAACTTTGTATAAACTTTATTACAATGGTGATTAGTTGTTCAGCTTTCAAGTGTAAAAGCAGCAGCGATAAGAAAGAGCCAGGAGTTACGTTTCATAGGTAAATAAACAGTCCACTCCAACTTTTTAGCCTTTTCTTATTGAATTCGATAATTATTCTTCAATTTCAATTAACATCTATATGTACTTGATATGTGCTATACATCGATACTAGTTTTGTACCTTTTGTTAACATTTTAATACGTTTTTTTCGTAATTAATTAGGATGAAACACCATAGGCGTAGTCAAAACAATTATCAAAAAATATAAATATTGCTTCAAACAGCTAGGTTAAGAAAAATATGTACCACGGCACTGTTTGGTGTCATCGTCACAATTTGTTCTCGGGTGTTATTTGTCCGTGGATTCTTTAGTCATTGGCGGCAATGGATTATTCGAGAACCAGAGCTGTGGGTATATAAACAGACGGCTGGACCTGAGGAGGATAGATATAAATAGACGAGTACAGTTGACGCGCTAAATTCAAAAATAAATTCTTTCTAGATAAATAGTTGTAAATCGTTTGTAAATAGTTCTTTAAGTCTTTTATCGTTATTGTTTATTTTGTTAATTAGTGTTAAATAAATTGTGTTTAAATAAATTGTGACTTTCTATCCACACGGAACCGACGAACCAAACCAAACCAATTAAGGCAAATTCATTTTCTTCACTTCCAAAAACAGGTTTCTGCCTAATAGGTTTTTCATATACCACACTATATGAACTCTGCGAAATAGGAAAAGTAATTTTTCAAAGGAACGCTTGTCAAGAAAATTGGTATTTGGATATGTTTTAGCATATACCCTTCAGGCCAACAAGCAATTGTCCTCACAAAATAAAATCACTATAGTAACCCATTCCTTCCGCCAGCAGATACTGCTTCATTTTTCTTCATAAAATAATAAATAGTAACTTATTAACCTTATTGTAGGTAAATTAAATTAAAATAACCTGTTATAAATTTAAATAAAGTCCATAAACTAATGTCGATTTTAAAAATAGCTACTAAATATCACTAGAAAATTGCCATGGCGACGCCAGCCATCTTGATTACAATTTTATTGAAAAATCACTTTTTATTCAAAGTTTAGTCAGACAAGTATATTATAACATATATTTTTTATAGCTTGCATATTTAAAAATATTTAAATATCTGAAAAACCAAAGCATTTAAACATATTAAACCTTCATAATAAATAACTTATTTTATGCCCAACAATTCAAAAATGAAATAAAACAAATCCGTTTCGTTTTTGAGATTTAATGATTATTAACTTTTTGTTCCAGAGATATTCGTTGTTAAATATTTCGTAAAACGAGAATTTTTTTTCTTTTGTAGAAATTCTCAAATAACTCAAGATCTGTTAGAAATATCGTTAAACGGTTTGCTGCAGTCAATTCTACGTAAAATGAACAGTAAAATTATCAGTAAAATCAACCGAGGCGAATGAGTTGCGCCACCCTGTATATAAGCACGTCATTAAGGAACACCCTGTATACTAATATTCAAAGGATATATTTATGGTTAATTTTATAAAAATAAACTTCATACGAGCCTATGTCCTAAATGTCCAACAGTCAGAGACAGGGAAAATTTCGACAGATAATATTCAAAAATTACATAAAATACTATCTGCTTGTGAATTAAAATGATAGGCACAATAAGCCCGCGGTTACATTGGACGCGGGTCCGTGCATTTTTTTAAACGTGCAAGCTCTGACGGAATTTACTCGCACGACTATTTTATTTTAGTGGTTACATTAGATGCGCGTTCATGGTGTCCTGTGTGTCGAGTTTATCAAAACGGACGCCACTACTTTGATGCTGTCTGAGGATTTAATGTTAAAATAACTACTTATGAACAGAAGAAAATGTTAGATAAATTATTTAAATGCAAGAAAAGGGGAAAAAATGAATATGTAAAATATTTGGTGAATTATCTCATCTTCACTGTCGGAGAACATTGTACATACTTGCATGAAAAATAAACGTTTATCGTCACTTGCCTTACTTTCATTCTAAATAGATATTTTCACAGCCCTTCGACAATCTAATAATTTTACTGATATAATAATAAAGCTTTTCTGTATTAAGAGATCTACTCATCAATTTAATATATAAAACATAATTATTATGTTAGTACATGAATAACAGAATCTGTTTTTCTTTGTAAATTTAATTGTCTATATATTTACGAATTTTTGGGTAAATAAATAAAATAAAATAAAATTCTATGATGTACTCATGGTACTATTATCTATCTTATTTATCAAAGTACTTAAAAATTAGCATTTAAGAAGATAAAAAAACTTCTACTTGTACATTATGTCAATCATTATGTTATTACGTTGAATGCTGCTATTTTTGCTTTAGTTTTGTCTTAAATATGCTTGAGCTATGTTTTTAACCCAGAGATAACATATATTTACGAACTGGGTTACGGTATTATGTAAATATAGGGGGGCAAGTAGATGTAACTTAAAACTTGTCGCCTACCCAGTCCCACGGGTCACGAGCCGCCACTGTTGAACAGTTTAAAGAACAAAACTATCAAAGGGGATGACTCCAAATTTACTGATAAATCTCTTAATTCATGTTAAGGGACTCATTGTATTTGTTTTATAATATGTTTGTTATAGTATCGTGAAAATAAATTCACAGACAAAAAATTGAGGGTACAAACTAAACAAAAATTATTGTGGTGGTCAGTTACTCAAACTCTAGCGCTTATTATTGTATGGGAGCCTGGCAAATGAGACACTTAAAAACTTTTTTGAGGCTAAAAAACTTGAATAAAACTTTTTTTTTGTTAAATATATATTACAGTTTAATTATTGTTTTAAATAAAAAACTGATATTTGTAATTGTTATTGATTTTATTTTTATTGAAACACAAACGTTTGGTTTCAAATTACATTTATTTATTGAAGAAACCAAGACATTTACCTAAATATTTGGCAAACAAATTCTTATCTGCTTTTGAGTATGCTTTGAAAGCAGTAGTCAAACCTTCTTCAAGATTATCAACGGTGCAATAATTTAAATGCCCATTTTTTTGCAACTGCTCAGCCAGTTCATTTTGAAGCTTACGAGTATCCATCATATCCTGAGTAATAACCACGAGTAATGGTTTATTACGCTTTAATACAGCTACACAAGATCCAAGATCTGCATCGCTAATTACCAAATCGGCCTTTTTAATTTCCTCATCAAACTCTTCAAAGGAATGATTATATTTCAATGTCAAATTTAGACCACCTCTAAATTTTACAGTTGTGGAATTATTTTTTTTACATATAGCGTGCTTTGAATCGGCACTGATTGATACCTGTAATAATCCAGTGCCAATCTGAATCTGTAGAAAATCGAAACCCAATTTAAATAAAAGTTTTAATATAGATACGTCTGTAGTAATCCTCTTCACAATTTTTTCAAATCTTGTTGTTTCTTTTATCTTAGTTACAAATAGCTTCTTTCCATTCCCCATATTTTTATATTATAATGTAATTTAGAAATACAAAATGCACACCTGTAACATTAACACACCTCTAAATATCATCACAAATCAAAAATCAATAACAACTAGGGTTGTTCCTTGAAACTTTTCGATATATACAACTACATTTTACAAGATGTAAAAAAATCAGTGCAAATAAATACACTAGGCGATGGCTTGTTAAAAACCAATGGGTTGTGTTTCATATAGAATGTTTTGAAGTAATAGTCTAAGAGCTAGCAACGTTTTCGAGAAAGTATTTTAAGACGTCTGGCTCTTTGATATATCTTTTACTATGCTCTCTGGAATAGCATGCGGCCCGTCTGGCTGCCGATACCCGGTGCGTTTACTACTGCGCATCGGAAGAAGATCCTATATTTTTTTATTAATTTAGTCCTATAAATTCTAGTATTGAATATAAATCGAATATGTCTCCATAGCGCAGTGCTTAGAGTTTCCGACCACGAACCGAAGATTCAGAGTTCAAATCCGGGTCAGGTCATAGACTTTTTTATTTTATTTTCGTTTATATTCTGATAGTAAAGTATTAAATAATTCTGGTAATTAAAAAAAACAAAAATTTTTTGGTTATACACGATGGATCAGAATCACAAATATTATAGACTTTCAAAAACGGCTCGCACTTGAAAATTGAGATTTAAGCATTATCTCTCTTCTTAGTCTTATTTGAGCATTTTTATATACAGAGTGGCGATCAAACATTTCTACACTTGCAATACTGCATTATATTTTTTGTCATCGACTAATTTCAAAATAAAAAAAATATTTAGTGCACTTATTAGTTAATTTAGAAACTTTTCTGTATCTGCATATTTTTTCCTACATTTACAGAGTCCGGCAATAGTGTATCAGGCATCTGTAGCTCCTAGAATAAAAAATGGGAATTTTGTTTAAGTGCAAACCTAAAGTATGCACGAGGATGTATTTCAGGAAAATATTTAACTGTTATAGGGTGGCACAAAAAGTGTGAATGGACTAGGATGATTTTTTTAAAATGGAATACCCTTTATATTATTGCATTTTTGGCTTCCTTTCAGATCACTTTAAATAATCATAAGATATGAATTTCGATAATGTCAGAGATATTAATAAATAAAAAATATATCTTTTTTAATCTTCCTTAAAAAACTATTACAACTACAAGAACTGTCCTGAAATCAAAACTATATTAAGTATTAAGTATTTACTTTAGATGGTCTATACATACTTTGCTATAAATATCGTAATATTAAATCAAACAGGGTGTTGCAACGAGTTAGATTCATAAGATAAATGATTTTAAGCTTTGCCTTGATATTAAAATGAAGTTGAGACGAAACAATTTAAAGTTTTTATTATTTTTATATTTCTACTTCTTCTGTTGCTATCGTAAAAATTAAGCGTTGTAATATGTTCATAATTAAATTTGATTTTCATTCTTCATAAAATACTTAATTATTTTATGCATTGTCCTGAAACTAAGTTAAACTTAGAGAGGTGACAATCGTAATCAGTGGTGTTATAAAAAAAATAAAATGTATTAATTTTATAAATCATTTTAAAAATGTGTTAGCCTACGGACAAACAGAAAGCGAGTAAAATCAGCTTTTAAATCGTTTTTTAGTAATAAATCGTTTAAATCGTTTTTTTGTGACTAGAAATAAAATAACAAAAAATTTACAAGTGGCCCGACCAAAAGCGTTTAGTGCTTTTTAACGTATAAAAAAGACGCTTTTTTGTTTACTGTGTGTCTAATGTGTCTAATGTCTGTGTGTTTGTCTGTGTGTCTATGTGGCTAATACATTTATTAAAATATTTTATAAAACTAATAAAATATTTCTTCATAACTTCACTGCATACGATTGTCACCTCTTTATTAAATAGATTGATTGATCTTTTTTTGGTTGAAGCGTTTACACTACGACACGCTTTTGGTTGGGTCACTCGTCTATAGTGTGATCTAGTGTTTTTATACTTAGTTTTGATGATTTATTGTTCAAATTTAATTTTAACACAAACTGAACTGTACTGTGGTGGTTAACTTTACCTATATAGCACAGAAAATTCACCCCAAGTACGGTAAACTTAACCAAACTTAATTTTTTTCTTATCGCGATTATTACTTTCTTTGTTATTTTAGGGTAGTCCGCTTAAAATAAATAGCTATACCTACACCATGCATGAGTATGCAAAAATTTCGCAAAATTTAAAATATGATTTTTAACGTGTCGAAGTTTAAAGTCGGCAAAAGTGACTCCTGTTTTTCTGCAACGGTTCTGCAAAGAACAATACAATTGCACTCATATTTCACATAATGTTCTGTTGTGACAGTTGTTCTGTTGTTTTTGTATTTGAGTATTTATCTATTTACATTTTACAAAAACGTTTAAATCGTTTTTTGCGACTAGAAATAAAATAACATAAACATTTACAAGTGGCCCGACCAAAAGCGTTTAGTGCTTTTTAATGTATAAAAAGACGCTTTTTTGCTTTCTGTGTGTCTTACCTACTGGCTAATTGTATTGTATTGTATTTTACTAAGAATGAGTCCCAGGTGGGACCCTCCACTGAGGCCGCGAGGGTCTATTGTGGCTCAGTTTCTACAAGCTCTTTAATAGAAAAAGAGCATTAAAGTTCACCCTCAAGACCCAGCCTTTTAACATAGGCCGTTATGTCCGAGGGTGATATGTCTTCTAGGTCTGATAGGTCTAGCGTGGGTTTGCCAAACACCTCAAACCTGGTCCTGCCCCCAGCGGGGCAGGTACACATAACGTGCTTCATTGTTTCGTCATCTTCCATACAGAGTCGGCATTCGGCGTCTTCCACCAGTCCCATCCTCTGTAGGTGTGATCTCAGCCGGCAATGGCCCGTGTATACTGCAGTAAGCGTACGCGCTCCGTTCCTACCAGCCTTTAGGAGTTCATCTGTTCTACGTTTGGATGGCCCTGCTAGGATTGTCTTGGCATCTAATGTCTACTGGCTAATACATTTATTAAAATGTTTTATAAAATTAATAAATTTATATTTCTTCATAACTTCACTGCTTACGATTGTCACCTCCTTATTAGATAGATTTTTGATTTTTTTGTTTGAAGCGTTTAAACTACGACACGCTTTTGGTTGGGTCACTCGTCTATAGTGTGATCTAGTGTTTTTATACATAGTTTTTATACAGTTTTGATGATTTACTGTTCAAATTTAATTTTAACACAAACTGAACTATACTGTGGTGGTTAACTTTACCTATATGACACAGAAAATTACTTATATGACACAAAATTACTTACCTATATGACACAACCAAACTAAACCAAACCAAAACTTGACTAACCTTATTTTTTTCTTATCACAATTATCACAATTATTACTTTTTTTGTTATTTTATGGTAGTCCGCTTAAAATAAATAGCTATCAAACAAACCAAACCATGCATGCATATGCAAAAATTTTGCAAAATTTAAAATATGATTTTTAACGTGTCGAAGTTTAGAGTCAGCAAAAGCGACCCCCGCTTTTCTGCAACGGTTCGGCAAAGAACAATACAATTACACTCATATTTTACATAATGTTCGGTTGTGACAGTATTGTTTTTGTATTTGAGTATTTATCCATTTACATTGCTAAAATTGGGTTAGAATATTAATCAATCAAGCAGAAAAAAAAAATCATCATGGGTGTTTGGGAAGGCTCGAAAGGAAATTGGACAGTTATTTTCTTACCGTTATTAATATGGTATGATAGGGCATAATTCTGGACCATAGTGCCCCCCAATACATTGCACCGCACATTGATTAATGATAATTATTGTTAGTTCCCAGTAATAATTAGTACACAGAAAGAAAAAAAAATTTGGGTGTTTGGGACGGCTCGAAAGGAAACAATGTTTTTGCGACGTTTCGCGACTTTATTGTCGCTTCTTCAGGCACCAGAACATATATTAATCCATATTATGCCTACAAACATTTATGGCGATTCCAACCGCTATAAACCCAACCGCCCATTAAGCCATGAATGTTTGTAGGCATAATATGGATTAATATATGTTTTGGTGCCTGAAGAAGCGACAATAAAGTTGCGAAACGTCGCAAAAACATTGTTTCCTTTCGAGCCGTCCCAAACACTCAAAATTTTTTTTTTCTTTCTGTGTACTAATTATTACTGGGAACTATCAATAATCATCATTAATCAATGTGCGGTGCAATGTATTGGGGGGCACTATGGTCCAGAATTATGCCCTATCATACCATATTAATAACGGTAAGAAAATAACTGTTCAGGACTATAAATTCCAACTATCGATATATCTCAATTATCGATATGTCGATAATTATCATCGATTCATTCTCTAAGATTCATTTTTCTCGATTCAATTTCTAAGAAATTACGACCGTGAGAAATCCTTCATTTAAGTAAAAACAATCTTTGTCTTGTTACGTGGGTAATAACAGGATACTGTCATCTCAACAAACACCTCAGTAGATTAAAGCTAAGAAACAACGGCGAACGCAGATTCTGTGAGGAATGTAGTGAAACACCAGAAGACTTTATCACTGAGTGCGCTGAGACGACAACCGTTCGTGCCATAAACTTTGGTACGGCTGATGTCGAAGATGGATAGCTGGCCTCTGTGGAGCCATCTCAGCTACTGGCTTGTGTCAAAGCCCTGAGACTGTATGATGAGTTATAAGTCGTTGTAACTTAAGAAAGGGGGACATACAACAGATTTGTAAGGTCGTGGTGATTAACTCCCCTCCCAAACATTCTACATTCTACATCCATATATCAATAACTTTGAAGTCACCTGTTGTTATTCGATATATCGATAACTATCGATGTATCACAAAAAATCCCATCTCTATCCAGGACCTGGCTCAATATAGCGATGGCGCAATCGCTCTACAGATACTGCCAGTTTTTATCTAGAATTTTATAAAACACTATGAAATGATGTACTTTTTTAAAACTTTTATTAAAATATTTTCACACATATGTAAACTATGTAATTCATCTCACTAACATATTTTATTTAATAATTTCTTATTCAATTTGCCTAAAATTTTGAACAAATTGTATAATAACTAACTCGTACGTTACAACTGCGTTTGATATCTAAAATAAAAAAGAATGTATTTTATCCCTTTCCTTCATTGTCACTTACCTTTAGGAGAAGATGCCTTTGTATTTTAAAGAATTGTTTTCCAGTCAATAGCATGATATCAGATACAACTTGATATAAAAATCTCTCAACCTAAGATAATAATATATGTATTAAATCCTATAGTTTCTGTATCACAATTAATTTTTTCTTACCTCTAAGTTATAAAGCTCTGAAGGGACTGAAACCAGTATATCCAAAATACCCTCGTTCTCGTGATGAATAGATCCACAAAAGAAAGATATTAATACAATTTTTCCAATCATAAAACTTAATTTAATTGCATAAATTAATTTTTGGAAATGTTGTTCTGCGTCTTCAAGCATTACGATTCCAAATCCATATAATAATAAGTAAGTTATGTTAAACAAATATGATGTTACTATTAACCAACCTAATGTATCATTTAATGTCGTACACAAATACACCAGATTACAATATTCTCTTTTTGTAGACCTCCATAAGTCATTATCTATCTAAAAAAGTTTTAAATTTTATTTTAAGAAAGATTCGTTTTTTTTTTAACCGTTGACGTTCTTAATACCCAAGTAACATTTTTCGGAGCCTAAAGTTTTATTAAAAGGTAACGGATATTTATAAAAGGTCTATAAGGAACCTTAACATTTATAAGAGTGTTTAAAGTCTTATAAGAACACTATTGGTGTTAAAAGTTTTGTAACACCTCGAAAAAATACCAAAATACTTGAAGTTTAATAATATTGCATCCAAAATGTTTTCGTTACCTGATTTATAAAACCTTTGGTATTGGTTACTTAAGGTTTTTTAAAAGGGTTTTATAACGTTCTTGAAAACCTTATTATAAAACTTTTACTCTTGGAGTTTTATAGCTTGCTTCGTAAAACCCTTATAAATCTTAAGGCACCTAATAAACATTCTACAGCTACTACAAAACCTAAAGAATTTTATAAAACTTATAGGCTCAGTAGCAACTCCTTTCATGTGTAGAATAGGGGGCGCTATATTTTTAGGGTTAGGTTATGTTTTATGTTCCTGTTTTGCTTTTGTAAACCAAAGACGGAAGTAGAAAGAAAAAATTGGAAAAAATTAAATACATTAGCAGTTTTTATAGAAAGTGCGTTAAAACCCGCGAAAATATTTTGGGAAGCACACCACCTACAACTACTAAAAATTACCAAAACTTAGACATTTCTCAAGAAGATATATTGCCAAATACTTCGACTGAATCGACTGCCACCGATGAAGGAAGGGGCAAAGGACCTTTGGAAGAATGTATAGATATCAGGGAAATTTGGTCAAAGACGGACAGATTTTCCATCTTCTGTGGTTTGGACAATTTTGAAGTGTATTGAAGGGCTTTGTTTTAATTATTTTGATTAACAAATTGTTTTGCAAAAGCCAAAGCGCCCGAAACAAAAAGTGGGGTTATAGGCAATGGTCAAGTTTCTATAAAAATATTTTTGGTAACTTATAAAACTATTAAGTATCACAAAAGCACCTCAAGTTTTATTGGAAGAGCAAAATTCCCATGACACCTAGGGAAGTGTTATAAGGCCCATATAAAACTAGAGGTTTTTAAAAGGCGAAATGGCGAACATGACGTCCTTTTATAAGGCGGCCATTTTATGTTTGTGTTGTTGTACTTACACAAAAAAGAAAAATATTGCATTTTAAGCAATATTACCGAAGCTTTAAGACGTATTTTTTCAAAAGCATGGGGTTAAGAAATGTTGCGCAGTTTATTTGCAAAAAAAACAAATCATGAGACTTAAATTTAATTTTTTGGTTTTTACAAAATAAATTATATTTGAGTTCTAAACGGGGGCGCTTTAGTTTTAAGAAGGGTAAAATGTTAATATTACTCGATAAATTTTCCGTGCCAATAAAATTTAGTCCTCATAGAATTCTTACAGAGTATTTAAGTTGTTATGATAATTATTATAACACGCCATTTTCATCAAAGTGAAAATCCATTGCTGTCAACTTTAAACTACAAGCAGAATAATAATGACAAGGACTTGAAATAGAATATATAGCAAACAAACGTTGTAGAAAGAGATGAACTTAAAAGGGGCGTTTTTTATTTTGGTGTTTATAAACACTATAAAAGCAATATAAAGGTTTTAAAGAGGTAACGAAAATGTATTCCTTGCCGCTATAAAACTTATTTATGGTTTATAAAGGTAAAGACAACCTCTTAGTTACCAATAAATGGAGAGTAAAGGTTACGTTAAAGGTTTTATAAGGTACTAAAATTTGGTCACCGTTACCTTTATAAGATTCTCCATTTAAGTGCTATAGGGGTGTTATAAGGGTAACGAAAACGTTTCGGGAACAATTGATAGGCTCTTAGGTTTTATTAAGTAGGTTATCGAAACGTAACCATTACCATTATAAAACAAAAAATGTTAGTTGGGTAGGAACGTCAACGGTTTTTGTAGACGTCTCTGTTTAAAAAAAACTAAAGTTTTCTCGAATAGTTGCATTTAAATATTTTAAATAGTTTTTTTCTTTATTCTTTGTATTTTTTTGCTTCCGACGACTGAAAGAGATAAACTTTCCAAAACTTTAAGCATTTTTTTGTTCATTAGGCAAATTTGTTTATCTGTAAACCTAACTGCTGACAAGTAGTGTCCGTTGGATTAACGCAGCAGTGTTTACAAAAAAAACAATTTTATTTTGTAGATTTTCTTGCAGTGGCGAAATACTCATATAGGATTTTTTTGGGGAGATGAATCCGCCACAGAGGTATAAACATTTTTTAAGAAAGATCTAGTGTTTTGATAATTGAGTTTTAGGCAGACAACAAAGTGAGAGAGATTTAAAGCCGTATTATAAAAGTATATCGTCAGAAGGAGAACTGCAGTGGGATTCTGTAAGCTCCGTAGCAAGAAATTTTTTGCCTAGTCTATCTTATTTTTATACGATTGATGAGTCACTAGACAGGAAATGTGTTTACAGAATCGTACTGCAGTGGTACTAGATGGTGTCCAAATGATAACTCACCTTAAGTGAAATTGGGCAAGAGATATAGCTCGAATGCCAGATAATGGTGGACTAAACGCATCATAGAATGGCGTTTGAGATTTGATGCTTTTTGAAATAGAGAAATACCCCTACTAGATGGCCAGATTACATAAAAAGAATTAAAACCAAGGAGGCGGGGTCTAAGTCTTGCAGTGGATAAAATTGGTATTTTTAATTAATTTGAAAATTCCTAATTAAAATATATTTTTTTTGTGTTTTTTTCTTTAACAAGGGGCCCTCTTTTCCCGGAAAACTTGCGACCAGAGAAGTCTATTATGGTTGTCCCCTTTCTATATCTGCACCCATTTTCCTATCCCTGTGCCCTGCACTAGCTTATGCAGGTCCTTGATAGGATGGGGGAGCATAGTTCCTCCGGTCCTAGCCTAGCTTTCCCAAATTTTTGTGTTTAATTTATACAACAACAATTGTGACATAAAACACTTTTTTAACAAAAGTAGAAAAAACTATTGTTTTGTAATTATTATTTGGGACTGTCAGGTGATGGGGGGGGGGGGTTATTAATTACCAGTAGCACATTTCTGTGCATTTCATGATATTATTGTGGCTTTTTGCATATCATAAATATTTTAATTTCTTTTGTTTTACTTAAAAAAAAATTCTAGATATATTTAGACTTTACTTACTCTCGCTTTTATTAAAAATATTAATCTTTTCTTTATTTGACACAGTCTACTGGTAAAAGAAATAGAGATAAACACAATCAGCATATTATTGAACTCGCAGATAAACATTTTTTGAAACTCTAATATCTGTAATATAAAAATGAACATTAACTTGATCAAAAATAAAGGAAAGGAATGCAATTACATTAACAATTACAGACCAAATTAAGTAATAAATACTTGTTCCGGAACTATGTAATTCATTTTCATTTCGTCGACATATTGATAAAAATGAATACACTAGAAAAAGAAAATGTGTATAAGTAAGCTGGTATATGGGAAATAATTCATTTATACCTAAAGTAGCTATTATTGATATTTGTGATGCATGTTGCATAATACGTCTTGATTTTACATTGTATTCCTCATAAAGCTGCATACTGCTTTCAACGTATTTCCATTGCTTAATTAGCCAGGGCCACTTGTAAGCCAAATATATAAAATAAAAAATATGGAAAATGGATTCCATACTTATTAAAAGAAACACTGAAATTTAATATTAAATACATTTATACATGGAAAATGGACAGAAAATATTGACAGATGAGTCAAACAGATATGAAGAAAATGGAAGATAGAGAAAAGTAAAAAAAATAAACATAATTTCTTGAAATCAGACAGTTGAAAATGATATTTCTCTCATAAATTATTTTATTAACTTATTAGCTTTGTTTGCACAGCGAAATATCCAACCGGTTGTCAATTTGTTTCTATTGATCGTTGGTTTCCAACTGATCTTAAACCTGGTTGTAGAATATGTAATATAATTTATTATATTAAATGAAATAAATTGGTATACTACAAAATTTTAATTATTGGCTTACCTATTTTATCAATGACAAGGCTATTCAGCATCTGAATGACTCTAAAACGTATTATTATGACCACTATATGTAAGATACTTAAAATTAGGCAATAAAACATTTTCCAAGAATAAAATTGAACTTTTAAATAAACACTTGTATCTTGTCTGATGCCTTGCAACGGAAAAATCCAAAACAATTCTAAGCATCTTAAATATAAAGATATATTTTGGCGAAACGAATTATTCTTCTTTAAGATGTCAAATTTTTTCGTCATTTTCATGTAAGTTCTTAATATAGTCTGAAACCTAGCAGCTGAGAGATTGTCTGATAAAGTGTTTGTAAAGAAAACAAACGCGACAACGAAAATATAAATTTATTATTTTTATTTTATTATTATCTATCAACAATGAAGGTGAATACAAAAATACTTATCAAGACTAACAATAAGCAACATGTCATAATAATATATATATATTTTGAAGCAGAACAACACCTTTTTATAAAATACATATAATATAGTTTTAATAAAACATTCTTATTATAGAAATACAAAATTATAAAATTAAAGAATTATTTTTACAAGCTATTTCACAAAGAGATAAGTTTGAGTGTCTTGATTCAATAGCTGGGGAAAACTGAAATATCATTAATTCGAAATGCACAACAGTTGCTGCTGCCTAAAATTAAAAAAATATATTGCATTAAATATTTATATTTTTTTACTATATTTATTATATTTTTATTTAGTTTTAATATTAAGAAATGAAATAGTATTAACACCAATTATTATTCACGTAGTATTTCACTTATAGATTTTCTGAGCTTATTTTATAATGTTTTTAATTGTTTATGTTTAAAAAAAGTTTTAGGAACAATATAATGTTCATTTTAGAAACTAACTGTAATAAATTAATAACTTGGTTTATATTATAACTGTGTAATTTTCCTAAAGACGCCCGGTGCCGTTCGAGAAGTGTTCCAGAACAAATAGAAGCTGGTGAAACGATGAACGCGGCTAAGAATTTTCGAGCTAAATCGGGACTGTCTGTTTCTCTCATATATAAGCCGACGCCTGGAGCCTGAAGAGGACAGAGAACAAACAGACGTTTGACGTGTACAGTTGCCGCGCGCTAAATTCAAAATAAATTCCTTTTAGTTAAATAGTTAGATAAATTGTAAATAAGTTATAAATAGTTCTTTAAGTAGTTTTATCGTTATTGTTTTGTTACTTAGTGTTAAATAAATTGTGTTTAAATAAATTAGACTTTCTATCCATACGGAACCGACGAAAAACGTAACAATTGGTGTCAAGTGTGGCGTGTGAGATAGACTAGAAAAATAAAAATACTGACAATGGCTCCGAAAAAATTATTGAAAGACTTGAAAATGTCGGAATTGGAATCGCATACTGGAAGAGAGGGAATACGAGACAGATGGAAAGAAAAGCATTTTGCAAGCCAGACTGAGAAATGTTTTGATTGAGGAAGGTGAGGATCCGGACACATTTTGCTTTGAGTTGGAAGATGACCTTGACTTGTCCTTACAAAAATTAGAAGATAAAATTACGAAAAATTCCAGGGAATTGCAAGACAATTTAAACGTCAATTTGAATAATTTAGAAGATAAAATCAGTGATAAAATTATGAAAAATTCCCAGGATTTAATTAATATTTTAGAAGATAAGATCGCAGGAAATTCTAAAAACATACAAGCCAACTTTAATAATAAAATACTTAATTTAAAAGAAAAGATAACAAAAAATTCCAGGGAATTAAAAGAAAAGATAGTAGAAAATTCCACGGAGCTGCAAGGCACAATAACACAAATTGAAGACGATGTAAACAGAAAAATCGAAATTTTCAAAGAAGAAATAGCGAAGGCGAATTCACCAAAACGTCAAGAATCATCGGAGGACCCGAAACTAGTCGAGGACCTCGAAATATGCCTCAAAGTCAGTTATGAAACCTCCACAGTTTGACGGAAAAACCGCTTGGGCCAACTATTTTGCCAATTTGAACGCCTGGACGATCACTGAAAAAGCTACCGCTTTGACTATCGCATTGCGAGGAGATGCGACTGACATCCTGCAGACACTGTCACCATCGGAACAGGGATATTATCAGCAATTGGTACGACATTTAGAAATGAGGTACGGCCAAGCTCATTTGGAGCATTTCTATCATTCCCAGCTCAAAAATCGCATTCAGAAGTCAAATGAGTCTCTGCAGGAGTTTGCAGCGGACATATATTCGCCTTGTGTACCCTGCTACACCCGAAAATGTTATGGAGCGGTTAGCAGTACCGGCATTCTCAGATGGCCTACGTGACAACGAGACAAGGCAAGCACTTCTTCTAGCCCACCCAACGTACTTGGTGGATGCTTTAGCACGTGCCGTAAAATTTGAGGCCGCGAAACAAAGTTCTCGGTCTTTAGGAAGAATACGGGCCATCGACGAATGTTCTGACGAGTCCGTGGAAAGCATTGTAGGCAAAGAATTGCGGCCAGGCAGTATACGTAAGAAGTCACTGTAAAGAAAAGAACCTGAATCCAGCTTCGCCAAATATCGAATTAAAGGGACACACATCGAGCAGTACCCAACAGGTTCCAACGAAAACTGCTCAAGTCGCATCGCTACAATCACTAGTGATTATATTCCTAGAGTTTACAGTAAAAATATTTATATTCGTAATAAGAAATAAGATACTTACTCAAAATAAAATCAAAGGTTTATAATTAAATATATTACCTATCTTTATTTGTCTATTAATTATGTTTTTATATTCTTTAGTAATATTTTTTACATATGTAATACTTCCGATTTAATAGTTTAGTGAATAAACTCGTGAGCTGTTTTTATACTACTATTTTATCTCTTGAAAGACTTTCTTTTGAAGAAATTTTGAACTAACTCGCAATAGAAAATTCTTCGTTATAAGGAAGAAACCGTGTCCAGTTATTCCATTAGGTAAATAGTTTATCTGAGTAATAAGCCGGCTAACCTAAAATAAAGGCAAAATTTAATATGTATTACCATTACAAAGTAATATTATATAAACTGCTTCACATGAGTTAGAAATAATTAGGTAATTTAAATTAAAAAATAAAAACACACAAATTAAAAATTATTGTGATATCTAGTTAAAATTACAAATTTCTAACTCTTGTGTGGATAAATATATTTAACATACATCAGTGGTATAGCTTTCTGTAGGTAAAGCATACAAATATTTCAATGGCTTTCTAGCTGCTTCGTTCAAAGTAGCGGAATATAGGGAAACAGCGATCACTCGAAAGACAATGAATCCAAACGAATAGAAAAAGTAAACACTATCAATAATACCTTCCCTCTCTCTAAAACAAATATTACTAATAATATTGTATATACACTCAGATGCGAAAAAAGCATATCGTCAAGTTTAAAGTGTTATATTTTTTTATTTTTAGCTCTATTTTCATGAATTTTTAGCAAGCTGTATATAAATCTATAAACTTTAATTCATAACCTCATGTTTTTATAAACTTTAATATGTAGCTTATCATACAGGGTTAATTAACGGGTTCAATTTTACCGTAATTTTAAAACACCCTATGCAATAATTTCGTTAGTAACTTTTCCTAAAACATTACCAACGAGGGTGGCTCATTAGCATATTTTTTAGAAAAAGCGTTTTTTTTACGAATAGTTTGGTACCTGAGACTTTAGGATTGAAATTTATATTATAACTTTTTTTAGCGAAAATGTTAATGCGGTCTATAAAATATAATTTAATTCGGAATGTAATTTTCTATTGAATAAACTAAAAAAATATAGAGGGAACCAGTTAAAAATCGAAAGTTGTTGTCTTTTCTAGTTAAACAGGAAGTGACCGAAATTAATTGAATACGTCAATTAATCCTGATTTATGCCATATATTAGCATACCAACTCTCTTTTTTTTGTATGAAAAAGATAAAAAGTTATAGGGTGAACCACTCTATCCGAACAATATTTTGCTATATTATGCCATTATTTTTGCTGTACATCATTACGATTGACAGTATTATTTAAATGTCAAGGAATTTAACTCAAATTGATTTATAATGCGGTCATCACAGTTTGTAATATTTTCCTTACTCTAATACTGTCAAGCTATCAGTATATTATAATTTAAAGACACGTTAAAAAAAACCAAAATAATATAAATTTGACTTACTTTATGCTGTTATACAACTGGATGCAAAGAAAAAATATGTTATTTATAAATGATATTAAAACTAGACCAGCAATTTGAGCATCTACTACTTTGGTTAAGCAAGACACTTTATAATAATCTTCTCGTATCTCCTTCCAGAAACTAATTGGTGGATTCTGTAACACAAAGATTAATTATTATACTAGTCCCAATGGATACGGAAAATAACAAGCAATTTGTTATTCATGATGCTGATTTATTAGTGGAACTATATAAGTGAATTTAAAGTAGACAATTAATCGTTGTTGGGTATAGGTGAGTAAGCAACGATTCCTATTTTTTCGAAGCTACACATTCAAGGTATATTTGCATAAATAAAAAAAAAATAGTGATATAAACTTTTAATGAATTTAAGTAAAAAATTAACACACGTCGATTGACCTAGTTTGAGTTCATATTAATGAATATCCTCCAAAAGTGAATAAAAGACACAGAATCCTCACTTATAATTTTTAATTTAATGTGTCTTAATGTGTTAATTTAATGTGTCTTTTATTCCGTCGTTGGATGATATTCATTAAAAACTTAATTTTAGTATCACAATTTTAACTAGTATGATATTCATTTCTTTATATACGGGTGAGTCTTAAATAAGTGCAAATATTTTCAGGACTAGTAGATCTCGATGGAAAAAATATTTTTTCTTTACCGTTTTCCAAAAAATATTTTCTCTTTACCGTTTTTCAAATAAGTCTAAAATAATCGAGTTATCTTACTTTGAGAATTAAAAATATTTGCTTAAATTTTTAGAACCACTGAATCTTTTCTTAATTTTCTTTCTTGTAAGTTTAATCTACTATCTATATACCATATTATCAAGAAAATGTTTTTTAACTAAAATCCAAAAATTCCAAGATTTCAAAAAAAAAATTCGCGAAAAAATACCATAATCGTATTTGCTCAAAATATACTAGCCCTAAAATATTTGCACTTATTAAATTGTGATAATAAAATTATTTTTTTAATAAATATCTTAATATAATTCTTTATATATTGTTTTGCAAATTATTCTTGGGTATGTGGTTCCAATTAAATAGATTTTTAAATTAAAATCAAATTAATCATAGATATATTATTTCACTGCGACATTTCGTTCACATATTTTTGGAGCATTCTCAAGTATAAATTTCTACAACAATACATAAAACAGTTATTATTTACTTAAAAAAGGATACAAAATGTTATAACTATACAAACATCGAGTCAAATCATAAAAAAAATAATTAAAAAATATATACGAAATATTTGTTTTCTTCATATACAGGGTGAGTCTTAAATAAGTACAAATATTTCGGGACTGGTCTCGATGTATTAAGCAATAATACCTAGTTATAAAATAACTTGGTATAACCAAGTTATTTTACTTACAAAATTTAAAAAAAATTGCATAAATTTAGAACCCCTATGTATGTAGTAGAACTACTAGATCTTTTCTGGGGTTTCTTTCTTGTAAATTTAATCTACTATCTAGCCATATTATCAAGAAATTATGTTATTAATCAAAAACTAAAAAAAATTCAAAAAATTCAAAAAATTCCAAGATTTAAAAAAAAATTCGGCTACTTACACTTATTTAAGTCAGTGAGTCATCCTGTATATTATATACTTTAGATAATGTTACAGTTTAAACATTTCTTTTCATGTTTAAGTCAGCCATATTAATTCGCACTCTATCTAAGTTTATTTTCTATCTAAGTTTGTTGATATGCTCTTGCATTAATCTTTTTATTCAAAGGTTTATAAAAATTTCTAACCATACTTAATATTTGTAAATTACAGATTTAAAAACGAATTACCTTATACTCTTTTATTTTGATGGCTATTTGGTTAAATTTTTCCCTCAGCGATAAACTCATTAAGATGATAAAGACATCAGTAAAGTTCCATGTAAAAGTGCTGATAAAATTAGTAAACTAAAATTAAAATTTCGTTTTAATATATGGTTTTACAATCAACATTTTACAGACCTGGACAAGAGCTCCAGCCAAGTGAGAATAATCTACTAAAGTAAACCACTGCGGAAAAGCAGCACGAAAGTAAGTGGCAATTGGATATTTGTTGAAGTCGGGATGGGGCAAACTGTGGTCAACATTCGTCAGCACAAACAAAATGTGCTCTACTAAAATACAAATATGATATTTATAGAGTTTGTGAATAAATTAATATTTTTTATACATTCAGATGCAAAAACGAAAATTTTTTTCGTCAATTTTAAAATGTTTTTAGCTATATTTTTTCTTGATTTTTTTAGCATACTATATGTAATTAAACTAAAAAAAAATCGGACTTCCATAGTCTTTATTTATTTTCCTTACACAACGTTTCGGTCAGAAATATCACTGATCGTTACCAACTGTGAACTAATATAAATCCTAAAACTACTGAACTTATACAGGGTGTTTCAAAAAACAAAGTCATAATTCGATTTATACAGGGTCCGGCAATAGTGCGTCGGGCATCTGTAGCTCCTAGAATAAAAAACTTGAGAATTCTATTTAAGTGCAAACCTAAAGTATGTATGAGGAAGTATTTCCGAAAAATAATTTAACTTCTATAGGGTGGCTCAAAAAAGTGTGAGTGGATCTGGATGATTTTTTTAAATAGAACACCCTGTATATTATTGCATTTTTGGCTTCCTTTCAGGTCACTTTACATAATCCTAAGATATGAATAAATATATTTCAATCAAAGATATTAAAAAATAAATCAAAAATATATATTTTTCAACCCTTCTTAAAAAAATATTAAAAATACAAGAACTGTTCTGAAATCAAAACTATATTAGATATTTACTTTAGATGGTCTGTTCTTACTTTACTATAAATATGGTAATCGTAAATCATACACGATGTTCAATATTTTACGCCAAACTTTCAAAAATATAAAATAGTTTTTCTTCATTTTTTTAAATTGAACACCCTGTATATTATTTTTTTTTGATGGAGAATTAAAAAATGAACATTTTTTATATTTAAAGTATTTCAAAATTTTTAATAGTTTTCCGGATACACGCGGTATTATTTCATATGGCGCTTTCAATGGTAAAATACGAGAGAAAAATTATTGGGTGGCTTTGATAAACATTTACTGTAGAAAATGCCATATGAAATACAAAACCGGGAATATCTGCGAAACCGTTAAAAATTTTGAAATACTCTAAATGCAAAAAATGTTAAATAAAATAAAAGTTTTTAATTGTCCCTCTATTGAAAAAATAATATACAGGGTGTTCCATTAAAAAAAACAAAGAAAAATTATTTTATATTTTAGAAAGTTTGGCGTAGAATTTTGAACATCCTGTATGATTACACTTAAGGTTTGCACTTAAACAAATTTCTCAAGTTTTTTATTTTAGGAGCTACAGATGCCCGACGCACTATTGCCGGATCCTGTATATAATATATAGTCTTTCGATTTATTATAATTTTCTTCCAAGCACTTTTAGTGATTCGAATGAAATTTTGAGGGTGAAAAGTTACTATAAGTGCTACATATTTTAGTGCTTAAAAAGTGTCGATAAATTTATCAGGTACGTGCATATGGGTTATCACTGGAATATTTTCAAAAAAAATCATGTGCGCCACTGCCTTTTTTCTTTTGATATCAAAACTGTGTAGACCGTTTAATGCCAATTAAAAGTTACCTCTTGATATTTTGTCGAATTCGGCCTCCTTGATGAGATAAACGCTATTTTATTAATCACAATTAATAAAATTAAAATAAAAGTTAAATTAATAAATTATATATTTTACCGAATTTATTATTACCGAAATTATTATTATTAACTTTAAAATAACTAATAATATTTTAAGTAACTATATATTTCCATACCCATGTTTATAGGAACTTTTTTTCATATTTTTTGATGAGGAATCAATGGGTACTTATTTTAAATTTTCGCAAGTAAATGATATTAAAATTTTTATAAAATATTAAGAGACAACTTTAAATCGGCATTAAACTGCTTACAGTATTTCGCTGACAAGAGAAAAAAAGGTCAGTGGAGTACATGTAATTTTTTTAGAAAAATAATCCAGTGATAAACCATATGCACGCTGCTGGTGAATATGTCAACATTTTTTTAGCTTTAAAATATGTCGTATTTATAGTAACTTTTACCGTCAAATTTATTATTTATAATATATTACCCTAATTCAAAATGTTAAAAGTACTTGAACGAAAATTATAACAAACCGAAAAAATATTAAGACTTTAACACCCTGTAGCTACGAAACAATGCAGAATCGGACCTATGTTGATATGAAAAATAAATCTTATTTTTACGTGAGGAATCTCCCTACGAGAAATGGTACATGTTATTTGAAACACCCTGTATACTAGAGCCGAAGATTCACCCGTGAATTAGTTGGGTGTAGTCAAGCATGCGGTTGTTCACTAAGAATACTTGGATAGGAGCGTTTTATGAGTGGTTTCCATATTGTTGAAATTTCCATACTTGGATTGCTAAAAATTTTATTATTACTATAGTTACTATTATAATTACTAAGGACACTTCTGGAGTAGTCCCAGACCTAAGAAACAGTTTTAATTTTGCACTGCTTGGCTATTCGCCTGATCTGTTAATTTGTCCCCTGTCTGTTCGTCTTTAAAGTTAGGTTATAAAACTACCCTTTGAAAAACCCTGTATAATAAACAGAATACTAAAGTTAATAAAAAACTAAGTTTACGAATAAAAGTAGATATATTTATACACAGTTTGCTAAATCAAACCAAAATCGTGAAAATAGCACTAAAAAAATAATACCTCATGGCGCGCTTAGACGACTAGTGTATTTGATAATCATTATTTGTTATTGGTATACAGGGTCCGGCAAAGGTGCGTCGGGCATATATACAGAATTTCTAAGTTATTTATTATAGGAGCTACGACGCACTATCGCCGGACCCTGTATGTCAATAAAAATGTTTGCCAAGTACACGAGTCGACAGAGTTCGCCTTAGTGCTGTTTCCCATGGAGCGGAGCGTCCGCACAGAGAGCCCGCGCGGACATGGACGCGGAAGATCCGTCCTGATGATTTCGTCCAACGGCCATCCGTCGAGCCCTTGCTTCGAAGAATCATCCGCGTCCATGTAAAAATATTGATATAAACTCTCTAAACTAAGAATATAAAACTGATATAAACTAAAAAAATTTAAAACTTAACATTTTAAATTTGAAGATTGCTTTTTTTGCATCTGAGTGTGTATAAAACCACCAAATTATTGAGTGTGTGTAAATTTTTTGACTAATGTTTATTTATCATAAAAACGCGTTTTAATTTTTACTACATTTTCATGTTCTTTCTAATTTTCTCGAAAACGGTATGAAAATTTGGAAAAGTATAAACAGGATTGACCATTTTAGAACAAGCAAAAATTTTTATAAAGAGTGCATTTTTCGCAAAATGTCAATTACAAAAAACTTTTTCCTCTTGTAAAGACAACATACCGTATATTATACCTATTAAATATATAGCAGTAACTTACTCAATCCAAAAAACATAAATAATGTAGCTGTCATTATGTTCAGTCTTTTGGCGTTCTTATTAATGGCATAATTTCTCATGGACATCTCAACATAAGAAAATTCCTTAAGAATTTCCTGCCACATTTTTCCTAAGTATATGAAATGAACTGCAGCAAAACTGTTTGATAGGTAGAGGCATGTTATAGCTAAATAAATAAAGAACTGATGCATTGCATTATTACAATATACACGGTGTCAATAAACATCAAATGTGGTACAATAAAATGAAAATAAAAATGAAATTATTAAACTATTTATAAAATCTAATATATTATTAAATTTTATTCAAATTTATAACATTGCTGTTGACTGCTACCTACAACAAATTCAAGAAAAAAGTAATGAGCATTTAAGATAATTAGAAAAGACCTATTTTTTAAAGTTTTAACATCCTGTAACTTTGAAACTGTGCATTTCCGCACCTATGTTTCTAGTATCTTTTTTTCATATTTTTTGTTGAGAAATCAATGGGTAAGTACTCATTAAATGGTTACATATTTTTTAATACTTTGGTCAGTTAATAAAATTATAATTTTTTAAACGTTGCTATTAGACTTGGATTAAGGCAAATTATTAAAATTGTGTTTTACTTATATGCACGTCCCTGTAAATCTGTCGACACTTTTTAGCATTAAAATATGTCACACTTATAGTATAATAATAAACACAATATAAATTTGAAAAATGGACGTTCACCAGGTCCTGGTAATATTGTAGCCGAATTGTTAAAGTGTGGAACCCAAAGACTGCGCTGGCGTCTGGCAGAGCTATTTAACCAGTGCTGCCTGCAAAGTAAACTACCCCGAGAATGGCGAGTGGCTCACATAGTGTCCATCTTTAAAAAGGGAAATCGTAACGACCCCACTTGTTATAGAGGCCTTTTTGGAAAGGTGCTACAGGGTAGGCTCAGGGACAGTATTGGTGACAAAATCTCGGAAGACCAAAGCGGATTCACACCGGGGAAATCTTGCACAGATAACCTTTTTGTCCTGCAGCAGGTGATGGAAAAAAAGATAGCAGTATATCAAGAAGTCCATCTAGCATTTATTGATTTGGAGAAAGCGTACGACTCTATTCCCCGCAGCAAGATATGGGAAGTCTTGAATATCTTAGAAGTAGATGGACCTTTGCTTAAGATAATAAAAGAGCTATATAAAGAAAATGAATCGTACGTTAAAATAGGACACAGGCTATCTAATCCAATTAACACCACAAAAGGGTTGCGACAAGGATGCAGCTTATCTCCTCTGATCTTCAACGCTTACGTCGAAGTAGCCCTTAGGGAATGGAAGACGAAATCTCAAGGTATGGGAATACCCATTGAGGACAACACACTATTTACCCTGAGCTTTGCAGACGATCAGGTCATGGTTGCGCAGGACTCATACGATCGAGAGTTCATGACTAAGAGGCTTTATCAAGAATACAACAAATGGGGACTTCAGGTTAGTCTAAAGAAGACCGAATACTTAGCTGTCAATTCCAACGCTTGTTTTGAAGTCTTCATTAATGATAACGTCCAATTCAACAAGTAGACAAATTTAAATACCTGGGTGCTACTATCAACAACGAGGATTTGGGCAAAAGAAGAAATACAAACCCGAATTCAGAAGAGCAAACAAGTTATTGGATGTCTTAACAGCCTCTGGTGGGACCGAAACTTATCTGCAACAACTAAAAAGAGACTTGGAAGAACATTGGTGGAGTCAGTTCTTTGCTATGGTTCAGAGCTGTGGACTCTGAGTGCAGACGCGAAGCGCAAAATCCAAGTTGTTGAAATGGACTACCTTAGAAGAAGTGCAGGTATATCTAGGATGGAAAAAAAGACAAACATCGAGGTCAGGCGTATCATGAATGCATCGGAGGAGACAGTACTGGATCGAATCGAAAAATCCAGCTTAAAATGGTTTGGACATGTTCTGCGTATGCCGGAGAACAGGTGGCCAAAAAGAATTTTTCAATGGGCTCCCCAGGGCAGAAGAAAGAGAGGTAGACTTAGAAAATCCTGGAACGGAACGGTTACGGAAGCAATGGAAGCTCGTAACCTAGAAGCTGATGACGCTCTAAATCGAGATGTGTGGCGTAGGGTAACGGGAAGGCAGCAATAGGCTGTAGTTGGAAATGAGTATTAAATACTTAAACCAAATCCCGTTTATATATATATATATATATATATATATATATATATATATATATATATATATATATATATATATATATATATATATATATATATATATATATATATATATACTTATAGTAACTTTTACCTTCAACATTTATTCGAATCGCTAAAAGCATTTGGAAGAAAATAATAAATAAATAAAATGAAGATTTGAACCCCCTGTAGCCACAAAACAAGGCAGAATCTCTGTTGATATAAAAAATTATTCTTATTTTTACGTGAAGAATCACCCTACGGGAGATGGCACATATTGCTTGAGAGACCCTGCATAAACTAATTTAGAGAAAAACTATAAAATTAAGTATTAACCAGTATGCGATATTTTTTATAACTAAGATACAATATGATCAAAAAAATAACGGCGTCGGCGGTGGCTATAAAATGAAGATCGCCGTCATTTTATATGTAAAATTATATGGGAAATGTCATCGATCGTCATTTCCAAGCCAACTCGATGCCGTTTTTTTTTCGATCATACTGTATATTAGGCAATCTAGGAAACATATGTATTAAAGTGAATCTGAATTATAAAGACATATGACATTAAATATTTTTAAAGAAACTTAATAGCAACATAAAACTACTATTTAAAAAATTATAATTTATTTTTATAAAATAATTTGATAAATTTAAGACTTAAAAATTACGTTTGGTAAAAAGTGTGTCTCATAGTCGGACGAGTTATGAAGTTTACATTCCTATGTGATTACAATATGAGACAATAAAAACTAAAATAACGTACAAGGTGTTAAGAAAATATTTACACAGACCTCTTTGTAATTGTACATTATAATATAAATTTAGAATTTACGATCAAAATATATTTCATCAAAATTTACAGTTTTTTTTCATTAAAATATAATTATTGAATATAATTTCAGATTTAACAATAAATGCATTTATAAATTTCATAAAAAAAATCATAAAACACTTCACTCTCATAATAACTTATTGTGCTACTTGGGTGGGCAAAAGCAAAAAAAATGACAGCTTGGTTATTTCTTGTGAAATTTCGGTCGTCTGTTCAAAAGTTTGGTTGTTATACGTCCATAAACCACTATGTAACTATGTAGGTTAATTTTGTAGTTTATCCTTATTAAATGGTACATACTTTTTATCATATGAGATAATTAATAGCAACAAAGTAATAAACACAAATAATTCAAAGTACCATACGATTGAAAAAATCGACATCAAAGTTGGCTCGAAACTTGGAATGAAGATCGAGGCTCACTTCATATGTAAAATTATATGGCGTGACATCGATCGGTCATTTCCGAGCTAACTTGACGCTTCTTTTTTGTATTTCAAAAGATGTTAATATAGAACATTATATATAAACAAAATACTTTTAAAATTTAATATAGAATTCAAAAAGCCATCCATCCATATATAGGTGCTTATATTTAAAAAAATATACAGGGTGGTCCGAACTGTATTCCGGAAACTTCGGCAGCATATTCTTCAGATTAAAATAAGTAAAAAAGTCCGTATAAATGTATGTCCTAAAATGCTTAGTTTTGGTGATACAGGGTGTAGAAGTTTCATTCTTATTTCGATTTTTTCGAAATAATTTCTGAAGTAACATCAATATTTGAATGAAAATTGGTGTCTGGCAGTTTTTTGACGTAAGAAATTTGATTTTCATGCCAATATGACTCCGACATGTAGAGGGCGCCACCTACATATGTTTAAACTGGTTTGAAGAGTAATAACTTTTCGTCCATAACTGTACAAAACTACTGAATAAAAAATATACATTTACAACTTTTTTTACATAAAAAAGGTCTCTTGGTAAAAATCGCTACGAGTAATGGTTCTCGAGATATTTGGAATTGAAATTATCAATACCTGTCATCAGTGACATAAATTATACATGTTGACTAAATAGTTATTAGGCTGAAACCATAAATTTGATTTTTTTTGTGCCAAAAGTTCAATAGAAACTGTTTAATTATCATTTTTTCGCAGAAAAATTTATGATTAATTTAAAAATAAAAATAATAAAAAATTTATTATTTCAGTCAAATAACTATACTGAACGTGTGCTTATTTTTTGTCAATAATGGCATGTATTGACTATTTCCATTTTAAATATCTTGAGAACGGTTGCGCAGAGCCATTTTTACGAAGAGACATTTTTTACGTAAAAAGTCATGGAAATGTATATTTTTTTAGTCCGTAGTTTTATACAGGTACGGAGAAAAAGTTATTACTCTCGTCAAAACGCATGTAGGTGGCGCCCCCTACAAATTGGAGTCATTTTGACATCAAAATCATATTTATCGTGTCACAAAACTCCCAGACACCAATTTTTATCCAAATATTGACGTTACTTCAGAAATTATTTAGAAAAAATCGAAATAAAAATGAAACTTCTACACCCTGTATCTCCGAAACAAAGTATTTTAGGACATACATTTATACAAACTTTTTTACTTATTTTTGCCTGCAGAATATGCTGCCGAAGTTTCCGGAATACAGTTCGGACCACCCTGTATATTAAAAATAGTGTACCTACACCTAGAAATATAGTTAATTTCAAACACATAATATATTTGGATCGCAATCAGGTCATCAAAACTTTTAATAAACTGATTGTATTAAAATCATGAATAATTATTATAAAGAATTTGTAGATATATTTATATATAAAAGTATCCGGTATATATAAAAGTATAGGTAGGTATCATAAAATTATAATTACCTGTCTCATCTATCACAAATCCATGAACTGCCAGCTTAACTATACAAAAAATCCCCATGGTCAAAACGCAACCAACGTGAACCAAGGAGTATAGCAACTTAAAACTGATCCATTTAAATTTGATATTATGCCCATTCTTATCGATATTATGTAAGGGCATAATACCGAAAACTTGAGACAAAAGTAAAGCAAAACGAATATTACTGTAAAAATAATGCGGTCTACAGGGCAAAATTCCATTGGAGTTGGTCTCGTTCATCGTCGATGATGGCTCGGGTCTGATCTTTCTTACGATCAACATTTTGCCGTCTAGAGTCTAACTGCGAAACTGTTTTCTTTAGCGGTCATTTTGTAGAGTGATTATTCTTTTTTGATTTTATCGGTTTATGTTAACATGAAACCATTTGACGATGGCGTAAACATTTTTCGCAGATTATTTGCTTTATAGTTTTTTCCCATTCCTTCTCTAATTTAAAAGCTTTTTTAATTGTAATTGTTTTATGCGTGTAATAGAAGAAACTACATGAACGACTACAAGATCGACCGTATAGGGTCAGTTGGGGTAATGGTAAACGACTTTAACAAAAATAATTTTAGCAAGGTATAACTTTGAAACTTTGACGTTTGCACTGAAAATTCTAAAAGGATATATTTTAAGACACTTTATTTAATAGGTGCTTTGATGGACAGCTAGAAATTTGCAATAGGTTCCAAGAAATTGTTTACATTTACCCCATAAGAAAATCAAATATTGTCCTATTTTGGGGTAAAATGTAAACATATTTTTTAAATGGGGTAATAATGAACCAAGAACTATACAAGTTTGTTTTTAGTTGGGTTATAAGTTTATCAATGTGTTTAAATGTTTACAATTTTCCCCATAGAGACAAAATAAAACATTTTATTAGAAAGACAAATTATTTATTACTGTTTCATCAAAAGTGTATGTACAAAAAATATTAAGGTGTTTCAAAAAAATCTACCTTTCCGGAAAACGATTATATTATCCTCCTTCCTTCAAACCTAACTAATGCATTTTTAACGTTACTCTTTTTTTGGTCTTTTTTATATCTGTCTTAACTTTCGTAATTATATAAATTGTACAATAAATAGTATGAAACTAATACGGAACGGAAGCTTACGTATAGCGTCAATACAATAAATAATACGAAACGGATATGGAATGGATATAGAATGGAAACGAAAAGTATAGTGAGAATCAAGCTTTAATCTTATTGGATATATCGACATATCGAGAATGATTATTATTCAAAAGAAAATATAAATAGAATAACATGCGCTGCCTGCGTGTGTCTGAAATAAAACAAAGAGCATTGTCATCAAAATGTATAGTAGTTCCATCTCTGCCTCTTTTATCTTAGTTACGTTTAGTCGTATATACGCACAGTAGCTGTAAACTTTATTTTATAAAATAAAAAAGCTCCACTTCCTTTTAAACTATATTTGTGCGTTTTAGTTAAAGCCCTCTACCTATAAATCCTATAAATCTTATTGGTGTATTCGTACTTTAACCGGATACTATAAACGTCGAATCGAATTTTGCAGGGTGCAAGTGTATTCGCTAATGCCACTATAATTGGTCTCTTAATCTGTTTAAAAAACTGAGAATCATAGTTGAACAAGTTATGCATTATATAGTCTGGACGTGGCTCAGTCTACCACCATGCTAAATTTAATCTTAATTGCATGATTTTTTGCATCACTAGTTACTCGATTTATAATTTTCTTTTTATTTAAAGCAACAAGACCTATATTTTTTTCTAATTTTAATTGGCATCTCAGAAAATTGTTTTAGAAACCCAATTTCTAAAATTCCCAATACAAACATTTTACTGTTTCGTATCTAACTTTAAAAAATGTAAATTTTTAGTATTCCAAACTCGTACAGAGAAAAAAAACTAAATGTAGCTCAATTCGTCTAGTTCTGAAAGTGCTATATTTTATTAAATTTTATATTTTTAATAAGCTTTTACAACAAAATCAGTAATCTAAAAATTAACATTTTATATATTTTATAATTTATCGTTAGTAAATATGATTTTATTCATTCTGCCTTAGGGCAGTGACGCCCTCAAAAATCTAAGTTACCTCAACTATCAAAGGTAAATGGTAAAAGAATAATCAGATGGCATGGTTTTTACAGCATAGGCAGCGCACTTTTATATACTTAAAAGACCTTTCCTTAAATTGCTGTCATGACAGTTCTCCCATGACGTATCTGTATTGGGTGTAAACATGTATGTATGTTGCCAATATCAAAAGTAATCATATTTGGTATGTTCTCGGTCGATACGAACTTTTTAACAGACGCTATGCGTTATTTTTAATTCAATATGCTTATTAAGAAGTAAAGTTTGGACAAAACTATAAGTATAAAGGTTTAAGTTTAATAAAATTTCTACAATGCACAGATTTATTTTCATCCTTTTATCTGTAATTTTGTATTTCTATTTCTTTCTATCTCATTCGTTTTAAAAAAGAATTTAAAGAAAACAAAAATATGTAAAGAAACATGTGTTTATTTCTATTTATATATCAATAACAATTAATTATACAAAAAAGATTGTCTAGTCTAAAATTAATTTACAAAACCACAGAGAAACATTTACATATTATCTACTAGTACCAACTTTTATACATATCATATATATTTATACATTATTATATTTATATATGGATATATACCCAGTGTTGGGTAAACACCCGGTATATTGAAATTTGAGTAAATACTTAAGTTGTGGCCGGGTATATATACCTAGTATAAACCCAGTATGTACATACAGGGTACATTTTTGAATATGGGCAAATACCCGCAATATACCCGGTATATACCCACTTATTATGTTAATTTAAGGTACCTATACTGACAAAAAATTTTAACAATAATTTATTGTGAAATACAGCATAAAAAATATCTAAGAATAAATGGTTAGAAAACCATCAGTTACTCAAAGAATGCACATAAGAGTTCACAATAGCAAATACATTCTCTCAAAAACACTTCAGCATAACGCCGGCGTTACAATTTTGATAAATATCTTAATTTTATAAGAGGATTCCTCGACCACCGGTAATATATACAATAACTAATATACCAGGAATAGATCTACACTATTCCTCAATGGGTATATCTATACCCTACACCTTCTGTTCATATACCAAGTATATACCCAAATATTATTTACCTACCCATTGGGACTTACCTACTGCCCCATCACTGTATATATCTAATATCTCTATTGCTGATATTTTATATAAATACAAAAATAAATATAATAAAAGTTATTTTATACAAATCGTTTCATTATGTGTTGAATTTGATGAATATTTTGATTTCATAGCAGGAGAAAACTGAAAAATCATTAGCTCGAAAGTTACAACAGTTGCCGCTGCCTGAAAAAGAAGTAATGCCAACAGTTAAAAATACTAAATATACCACGTTATACCGGGTAGTGTATCGTCGCTAGAAACATAGAAAATCACATGCAAAATTTACATATGCAGACACTAAGCGTAAGTAACTATAACTTAGTAGTGTAGACAGAACAGTAGATAAATGAAACAAGTTTAGATTGGAAAGTACCCATAAGGACAATGTAAATACTATTTGGCGCTATTCTTGCAACGGTCGCGACCCAAAGCTTTTGATAATTTCGGAGCGGTTCGGCTTTTTCCGGAATTATGTCGCCAAATATTATTTAATAATATCTATTTTTTGCTTTTAATTTTATAAATAAAATACAGTGTGTTGCATACAAGAAACTTCATTCTATTACTATTTATATAAGGACATGTATGAAATACCTATGAAACATTGGAAACCAACGTTATGCCACGATCCACGATGGTTTTAACAGTTCACAGTTCACAGCACAGCTTGAACAAGTTTTTAATGCCACTTTTTCACAATAATTATCACGGGTTTGAGTAAATAAAATTTAAAGTAAACTCACAAGATAGCAATAATTACTTTGAAAATAAACTGTTAAAAACTTTTAAAAATTTTCGGTATTTCTTCAATAACAGTAGTTTAAATTTTGAAAGATTTTATAATTTTTTAAGATTCTGACTTTGACAAGAGAAAATTATTTCTGTTTTTACTTGGCGGTTGTTCTCAGCAACCGCTATAGCAGCGCCAGATCGCGTACAACGGCCGCGACCCAAAACAATTATATATTTTGACCGGCATTCCAAACTAAATTTATTTCCTTTTTCTATGGATAGAACAACAAATTACATTTAACATTGACAAAATTAGAGGATGCCAACTTAAGTTGCGTTGGCATTTACCTGGTTTTGCATTATTACCCGTTCAGTTTTAAATTAGAAAATAGATGCAGTTTTTATTAAATTACTTAAAATCTGCTTGTTCAAAAAAAATATGTGTTAAAATTTGGCATGTGTATTTAGCATACGCAGACCTTTAAAAAAAGCTATTGACAACTTCTCTGTAACAGAGGAGCTAATATCTGGATAATTCAAACGACGATACCACCGGTATACCAAATAATAACCAAAACTTTAACTAAAAACCAAGAGTATAATTAAAATATTAAATTCTAAAAAATAAAAATCATAAATTCTTTCTCTGATATGTCAATATAATACAGCGAATATCTGCAAACCCGCTAAAAATTTAGGAACACTTGGATGTAGTGTTTTTAATCAAGGTTTTAGTAAATAAGAAATAAAATGGCAACACCGCATGATACTTAAAAAAATACTGTACTATATGCAAAATTTTATGCTGATTCCAATTATGTACAGAAAAATAGGGGGTGCAATTTAAAAAAAAAACTTTATTTAACTTTGTTTTCGAACACCCTGTATACAAGAAAATATTTTAGGGTATGCACCAAAGGTATGCACCTTTATAAACTATGCAACATCTGTACAAAACTTGTTTTCAGCGACGGTATTAGACTTCCTCGCATTAATGGGCCACCCTATATATTTTGCACCAAAAGTATGCACCTTTATAAACCATGCAACATCTGTACAAAACTTTTTTTCAAAGACGGTATTAGACTTCCTCGCATTAATGGGCCACCCTGTATATTTTGATGTTTAAGCGGAACCAATGTTTATAACGTTATTTTATTAAATAAACAAATAATATGGTAATATAATATAATAATTAAATAATAATAATTATTTTATTGTTTATAACGTTATTAAATTTTGCGTCAAATTGACTTGGAAACGTCAACCGATGTTTTCCACCGTATACTTTTATATACAGGATGAGTCTTAAATAACTGCAAATATTTTTGGGCTGGTAGATCTCGATAAAGCAAACATATTTTCTCTTTGCCCTTTTTCAAATAAGTCCAAAATAACCGAAATATTTTACTTTGAGAATTTCATTTTTTTTTAATTTTGAGAACCGCTGGATCTTTTCTGTATTTTCTTTTTGTAAATTTAATCTACTGCCTATATTGCCATATTATCAAGAAATTATAATTTTATATTTATTTTTTTAATCAAAAACTAAAAAAACTTTTGTAAAAAAAATTTCAAATTTCCCAAAAAAAAATTTTGAAGAAAACAATCATAATCGTGTTTTTGGGGTCGAAATATACTACCCCTAAATATATTTGCACATATTTAAGACTCACCCTGTATTAAATGACAACAATCACAAATAAAATAATCAAATTAAACTAATTTAATTTGCTATCCTATCTCGTACGTATTTCTTCACAATGAGGTAAAAAATACTTACTTGCAAAAGAAAATTTTTGGTTATCAGAAAAAAACCATGTCCCGTAATACCATTGGGCAAATAGTTTATTTGAGTAATAAGTCGACTTACCTGAAACAAAACACTCAATTAAAATTTTCTGTGAACAACGGAAAATTATATTATTTTACGTACATCAGTGGTATAGTTTTCTGTAGGTAGAGAATACAAATATTTTAGTGGCTTCCTAGCTGCTTCGTTTAAAGTTGCCGAATAAAGAGAAACAGCTACCACCCGAAAAACGATGAATCCAAACGAATAGAAAAAGTACACGCTCTCAATAATAGCTTCCCTCTCTCTAAAAAATGAATATACTTTAAGGGTAATTCTAAAACAATAAAAAACAAATACTAATAAGCTCACATTTATGAGAATTACAGAAAAAAGAAACAAGTTATAACTTGATATTAAAAGAATTTCGAACTTCCATTGTCTTTATCAGTCTTAAAATAAAAACTTTGTATTTGTGTGGCGGCCAAATCTGTGGTAAGCATTGCCTGGAAACTTATATCACGGCACATAAAACAATCGGCACGCCAACTCTACTCAGATTCCATTGTTTAAAATTTCTATAAAATTTGACCTTGTCGGCGCCATTATGGTTTCCTAGTCAGGGCCGGATTAAAACGTATTAAAAAATTTCTCAGAAAATACGACAGGGTCGTATTAAAAAAATACTGTAATTGACTGAAACTGAATTTTATTTACAATACTTTTGTCCAAACAAATGAATCGTTAACCGCGCATACTTCTCGAAAAGTAAAAATGAAAAAATCAATTAAATATTTCACCAGGAGTTACAAACAAGAATTAAAAAAATACCAATAAAATATTTATTGAACAATATAAAGAGGCTACGTACAAATTATGCCCATCAATGGGCGTAACAAATTTTATTAATATTCAAATTTCACAAATTAATAAATCCACAATTTTTTTTGAGAAACTTCTATTTTTTTCATGGCAGGAAACAAAGTAGGTACCGCATTGTATTTTATACGGTTACAAAGTGAATTGGTAAACATTTTAAATTCAAAGTGAACAGAACACAACCTGTACTTGTGGGCCTTATTTATATCTTCAATCAAGTCTTCTCCGTTAGCTGCAATTGCCCATGTTCTTGCCCTAAAAATGTATTGTTAACTTGTTACTAATCTATTGTTATTTTCGATATACTCATTTTATTTATTTTTATAATTTTATTTAAATTAATAATATAATTATTTTTAAATTTAATGTTGAATGTCTAGATACAACATTAAATTTTACTAAATATTTAACATTTTAATCTTGCTAATATTTTATATACATATAGGGTGAGTCTTGAATAAGTGCAAATATTTTCAGGGGTGGTATATTTCGACCCCAGGAACACGTTTATGAGTTTTTTCGCTAAAAAAGATATTGAAAATCGTGCATTTTCTTTTAACTTTCCTGTATATTTTTCGAAAACTTTCTAGAACTGCCTGTTCACCGCAAATTTTCCCACGGTATAATTTCTTAATCTCTGATATTACCATAGTTACGGCTTTACTCTATGGTTGCGGCACTAAAAGGGATGCAAATACAGAAAAAATCCGGTGGCTCTTAACTCAACATTAAAAAAAAAAACATTTTTTTTAAACTTAAATAATTCGGTTATTTTGGATTTATCTAAAAAAGTAAGGAGAAAATATGTTTCTTTTATCGAGATCTGCCAGCCCTGAAAATATTTGCACTTATTTAAGACTCACCCTGTATATACGTTTGTTAACATTTAATATAGATGCTGAACTTGTATATTTTTAATTAGATCTTTCTATTTAGCTGAATGTCCTAATATGTATACTACTGTTTTTTTAACTAAAATATGTTAAAATAATTAATCACATATGTATATACATACCTAATCGGATCTCTAGGAAACAGAAAGAAACTTTTATTGCAGTTTAGTCCTCTACTCGGGCAGTTTTTTTGCTGCACAACTTCGCCCAGGGATTTTAAAAACACGTAAAAATTAACGATTTAAAAATGTTCAGAAAAACAAAAATAAATTATATAACACAAGAAACGAAAATAAACTAGAAAAACCAAATATATAACACAATAAACAAAAATAAAACAACAACTATAAAATATAACTCAAGAAATAAACAAAATAAATTAATCCGTACGCTACTGACTCGAATCAGCCGAAAGTGTGCGCAGTCGATGAAAGAAACTACGACACTGGTTACTTTCTGTTGATGGAAACCCTAATGGCGGCGTGCGCGACGGTATGCGCGTAGCGTTCCCGCCAAAGAGAGTTAGCCTGCCGTGTGATTGATATGCCGTGCTTATATGGTGAAATTTTGATAAAATAATTTAGTACACACTAAAAACACGGTATGTCGCTAGTGGTAGGAAAAATAATTTTTAGAGGTTACTAATCTCTGTTTTTTTTCTCAGGTAAGATTTCGACAGACGATGACAGTAGAAAAACAGATGACGTCCCATACCAATCTATTTATTTTACTAAAAAAAGTTTCTAGTAATTTTTAAGTTATGGATGGGTTTAAATATAAATCCGTCATGCGTCGTCTCTTGTTGTTTTTAACCTGTTTTATTGGCTTATTTCAAAAATGACAGATCGTATTTCAATTTTATTGGTTTGACGGAACGATGAACGACAAACGGACGCTGATGCGTATGAACTCGCCTTTAGATTTTGTCTTGCCAAATTATAGGTTATAATTTTGTGTCAACTTTTGTCAAATACCCTGCGTTTTGGAAGATGATGCATTTTATTACGTGTGTTTTGTGTCTTTTGAAGTCAAGTGGAGGAAAAATACCGAAAAATCGAGTGAAAATTAACTATAGACCCAGAGCACAGTTTATGGTTAATACTCGCTGCCCAGGTAGAAAGTCTTATACACCAATAAAGTTACCATTAATAAAGTTCGTATACCATCTCCTCGTAGATAAGTGCATCTCGAATATGGTAGAAGGACCATACTAAAAACTGGAGTAGCTGTAAAATATTGACATCACAGGATAGGTAAATAATGGATTTTAGTACTGCAGAAAAATAATGTCAAAAGGTACTGGTTTAAAAAAATTAAGATTAAAGATAATTAATCAAATTTGGTAAGTGTTATTATTAATAAAATAATTTGTTTTATTTATGTTGTATTATTTATTCCGGTGGAATATTACAAATTTCTATTTGTACATAAGTTATATTGATAAATATAATCATAAATGCGGGAAGTTTCATAAAGCTTGAAAGTAAGAAATAGTAAGTTTAATAGTAGTAAGTTTTTATAATTTTTTTGGTATGTGGTGTCTTGTTCTTGTTTGTTTTGTATTAACACATAACCGTTCTTTATTAAATAAAATAACTCGATTACATTTTTTCAGTTTTATACATTTTTTTCACAATATTTTGAAGTAATCACTTGTCAGTCAAATTTTAATTATATTAATTTCCTGCTATGCGTTTCAGTTGTACCAACTTATTTTTTTCTAAAATAAAATAAACTACTTTGAAATTAAAATGACAGACACATCTATCACTGTCAAGGATCTTCTCGTTGGACAGACTATAGTTTATTTGGATGCCTGTGATATGCATATACAGGGTGTTTCCTAATTAATCTAAAAAATAAAAAATCGTTAGAAAACGAATTAAGGCGGGCTCTTAATAAGTATATTTATTTTTTTCTCGACAACCGTTTGATAAACAAGAAAAACTCAAAAGATCAGTTTTGTTGAAAAAGAATGGCCAGTCAAGAAAAAAATATATTTTCTTTAAAAATGGAGTGGTGTACCATTTATGTTAAGCAAAAAAATCGATTTTTTTTTAATTTTTAACACCCTGTAGATCAGAAAGGAAGTACTTTAGACCCAATGGTTATATAAAAATTGTTTTAAGAACACATGAGGAATCACACCATAATTTTTTTAGACTAATTCGAAAATACCCTGTATATTGTCAACTTGACAATAACTGCTGATAAATCAAAAAATACCTTTTCAGTGAAAAAAGCCTGATTTTCGAAGGAAAAATTTTGATTTTTATTGAATTTGGGCCTGCGTTTGCAAATACTCCTTTGTTTTTTAATTTACTACCTATCTAAATTTTAAATATCATAGTCAGAAATAGTTTTATTATTTATTAACTGTAAAAATGGTGTTTTCTTGTTGTGTTGCATCTTGCAAAGAAACTAACAAAACTGCAAAAATGTACGTGTTTCCAAAAGACGATAAGGTATGTATCTTAGATAAAAGAAAAATATATGGTATGTATTTGTTGTTTGATTTTTTTTTTTTCGTTCGCTTTAAAATCTATAAATCTCGGTCTATTCACTAAACAGCCAGTCGACTTACGATCATTTACATGAAACTCTGTAAAATAAATAAAAAAATAAATTGTAAAATATATTCTTATGTTTTATTAAAGTTACTCTGATATACTAATATATCAGTGTAACTTTAAAAATAAATCCTTTGAATTCAAATATAAACATAAAAAACATTTACAGCAGAAAAGGCGAAGGCGCTGGGTTAAACGTAGTCTCCACTAAAAACACGGAGGGGCGCTTTGACCCAAAATTTTACTATTAAGTTTCATATCTATCTTAATAGTAGATTATTTTCTTTTATCTATGGTGGTAAGTCAAGCCAAGTCACGTTAGAGGACCAAGGTCAAATCCTCAGACTTAATCAGATTAGATTGGTCTAAAAAAAGTCAACGTCAGGGGCTTAGAACACCCTAAAAAAGAAAATGCCACTTCTCCAACTCCCAGTGGATGAAATTCCGAGAATTTATAACTTTGAGAAACACCTCACTGTAGTATTAAGTAATAAAAAGGATTGGAAGGAAGAAACGTTTGCTCAGCATGTAAACGACAATATCATAACGTGGTATACTGATGCTTTCAAGACCAAAGCAGGGACAGGGATAGGAGTGTTTAGGCCGAAAACTAAATACTCCGAACCAATGGGCACCTACCCCAGCATCCTTCAGGCAGAAATCTACGCTATGGAAAGATGCCTACAATTTATCTTAGATAGGAACTATCGAAAACAGGAAATACCCATCTTATCCGATAGTCAAGCAGCACTAAACGCGTTCAACTCAGTAACCATCAATCGAAGTTGGTCAAAGAATGCCTAGAGAAACTCAACAAATTAGGCAAAGAAAATAAAGTCCTCCTACTCTGGGTGCCTGCTCACCAAGGGATAGAAGTCAACGAAAAAGCAAATGATCTAGCTAGAAAAGGAGCGAACACTCTCACTAACTGGACCAGAACCGTTCTGCTTCCCAAGTGGAAACCAACTTAAAACAGAACTGAAGAACTTGGAAGACTCCTTCCGTCACCTGGAATGGGTGTCCTCCAACGGTGTAAGACACTCGAAAAATTACCCAGAACTTACGACGGAGAAAAATCAAAGATTTTCCTTGATTTAAGTAAAAACAAGTCTAGATTGGGTCGTCCAAAATACGAGAGTTTTGGTACGTGACAAATCTGCAGGCTAATTCTCTAATGTGGGGGGGGGAGTTAATATCTTCTCTGGTTAGTGATACAGCTGTCCAAAACGTTGTGTTAATTAAATTATATAAAGACATTTAAAAGTCGAAATTCTTTTAGTATCAATTTTGAATAATTATCTACTGCAATCAAAACTAGACCTTAACTCACTTTATGCTATTATATAGCTGAATGCAAAGGAAAAATATGTTGTTTAAAAAGGATATTAGAACTAGACTGGCAATTTGAACATCTACTACTTTGGTCAAGTAAGAAACTTTATAGTAGTCTTCCCGAATTTCTTTCCAAAATTTTGTTGGTGGATTCTGAAATAAAAAGAATATTAAGAAATTAATATTGATTATTGTATATACAGGGTGAGTTTTCTACGATGTTCTCTATGGGTATCTCGGAAACTACTGGAGTTAGGGAGTCGGTTAAATGGGAAAAAATTGCAGTATTGTGGGGTCATAAATATGCGCCTTTCAGATTTTTGAAAAAGTTCATGGCTTACTAGATATTTCGAAAAAAACAAATTTCGCCTATTTTAAAAATTGTCCCTAATTCCGTTGTAATTTATTTTAGACAAAAAGTTTTCAGATAAAAGTTGTAGATAATCACATCCCTAATAAGTTTCTGTTCTCCGTTTTTTTCTAAAGCCTGCTATTTTTGACATATGACACAAACATATGTTTTTTTTAATGGAAACCATAGTTGGCCATGACTTCAAAAAAAGCGCCATTTTTAAGGCTTTTCAGTGATATAAGCTATAATATGTTTTCTTCGAAAAATTACTGAGATATACCCAATTCTTATCATTTTAAAACAATTTCACATAGTTAGCCATGGAAACAAGTTCAATCGTCGATGCTCTCAGAAATGTTAACTGTCACATCCAAACTTTATAAATTAAAATAAACAAACATTGTAAATATGAATTTTTCACATGAAGAAAAGCGTGTACATTTCCGAGGATACGTTGAGTGGTGAACGTTACTTACTCGCTTTTTAGGGTTAGGGGTTGGGGTCGCTTTTAGGTTTTCAAGACATGTTAGAAAAGTTAAATTTAGAGACTCGCGCATCAATAGAGTGATTCCAACATAACTTTCAGTATGAAACAACCCCCTATAAATGAAACAAATGTTAAAAATTATATATATAATTATGCAAATTCAGGGATAGGAAGAGGTGGACCAATTGCATGGGTTTCCTCGATCACCTGACCTATCCATTTTAGATTTTTTATGCGATATGGTTAACAACAAGATTTACAAAAGAACTTATGAATTAAGAGAGGCACTAGAAGAGGCGGTACGGGACAAGTTTAATAAACTCGACCCGTCACGTCGTTCTGTGAGAAAAGCTAGTAATTCAGTTTTGAAAAGATGCATTTATGTACTCAAAAAAATGGCGGATTTTTTTATAATTTTCTAAAATAACTTAAAGTGTATGTAGTGATATTATTTTTTTAAGTTTTAGTGTTGTGTTGGTAAATTGTAAAGAACGGTTTAATAAAATATTCTATCTTTTTATAAGTTATAAATCATAACAAAATAAGAATAGCATGCTAACTAAGTGAAATTAGTCAAGAAAGATAATGATTGGCTATAACTCAGTAATTTTCAAAAAAAAACATATTATAGCTTATATCACTGAAAAGCCTTAAAAATGGCGCTTTTTTGAAGTCATGACCAACTATGGTTTCCATTTAAAAAAAAACTTAAAAAAATATGTTTTTGTCATATGTCAAAAATGACAGGCTTTAGAAAAAAAAAACGGAGAACAAAATCTCATTAAGGATGTGATTATCTACAACTTTTATCTGAAAAGTTTTTGTCTATAGTAGATTATAACGGAATTAGGGACACTTTTTAAAATAGCCAAAATTTGTTTTTTTCGAAATATCTAGTAAGCCATGAACTTTTTCAGAAATCTGAAAGGCGCATATTTATGACCCCACAAAACTGCAATTCTTTCCCCATTTAACCGACTCTCTATCTTCAGTAGTTTCCGAGATACCCATAGAGAACATCGTAGAAAACTCACCCTGTATATTCTATAGTGTCTACTTTAGATACTAAATTATGGAGATTACATTTCCAACAGCCAGTTTTTACGTTTTAAAATAAAGTTTACAGATTGTCAAAACAATAGTGTATCTAACTTCGGTTCTACAGATAAAAATAAAACAAAAAGTTCCTATGAACATTGAACATATGCCCCAAAATAGTTTCCGAGGAATTTACAACCCTCGAAAAGTTAAATAAAAATAATATATTTGGTTTATTTTTAAGAAGATTGCTAAACCGTTTAACTTGAAATTTGGTAGTCTTACATACATTTCAATGCCAAAGCGAATGGCATAGCTTAAAATTTTGTAACAGCTCTGAAAGGGTATTTTCCATTAGGGTAGACTTAAAAATTTTCACACATGACATAAAAAGCTAGGACTATTTTACGTTAAAGGTTACGATGCATTGATTTTACTATTATTATCGAAAATCGAAATGATAAAATGTAAAGAAATTGTAAATAATTTAATCTCATAATAATAAATAATAATAGCTCCCGTATATAGCGTTTAACGCCTTGGGAGTAGCAAGGTACAGCTTGCCAAGCTAGAGCCGTTCGGTATACAAGGAAGGTAATGTGGCTAGCACTACGCTTCAACCGTCTATTATTACCTCAGAATTATGAATCCCAAGTACTCATTTAAGGCTGAGTCGACCTAGGTACCCAAACTATTTTTATTTTAATAAAAATAGTCGGCTGATGCAATGCCGGGTGTGGGAATCGAACCCACTACCTTGAGATTGGTAGACGAGAGCCTGTCTACGCCACCGGGCACCTTAATTTAATCTCATTAATCTCTCTCTCATAATTTAATCTCATAATTTCGCTAATTCTAGAATCGATACATCTTAATATTTGAAAGGAAATTAACTTAAATAAACTTAAAAACCATTCACCGTTTCGAACTAAAATAAGGGCACCTTTTTATGTCATTTGTAGAAATTACTGTATCTGTAGTACTCTCTACCACTAGTACTCTCTACCCTAATGGAAAGCCTTTCAGGGCTGTTACAGAATTTTACTTATCACCATTCGCTTTGGCATTAAAATGTTTGTAAGAGTTCCAAATTTCAAGAGAAACGGTATACCACTGTTCTTAAAGATAAGCAAAATATATTATTCTTATTTATCCTTTCGAGGATTGTAACTTCCTCAGGGAGAATTTTAGGGTATATATGTACATACATAAGAACTTTTTGTTTTAGTTTTATCTGTAGAATAATCCACCAAAGTTAGAAACACTATTTTTTGACACCCTGTATATGTATTGACGTTTTGTGCTTTTATCAATATGTATTCTATATTTTTACCTAAACTATATTCTAGTTCTATTATCTAAAAATGTAAATTACCTTATATTGCTTTATCCTGCTAGATATTTGATTAAATTTCTCCCTAAGAGATACACTGATTAGGATGATAAAGAGATCAGTAAAATTCCAGGTAAAGGTGCTAACAATATTAGTGAACTAAAAAAAGCTCTATTTGATTTTTATAATTTGTTCCTAGTATAAGAACATACCTCCACTAGAACAGCGGTCCAATGTGTATATCCAAGTAATTTAAACCATTGTGGAAAAGCAGAACCAAAATATATTTCAACTGGATATTTCTTGAAATTTTCACAAGTAAAACTGGACTGTACGTTCGTGAGTATGAAAAAAACGTGCTCTACTAAAATATAAAGAAAACTATCACTAATATAACTAAACTAAAACTAATGTTGAAAATCCCAGCAATAGATTAATATTAACTGAAATGGACTTTTTTCACAGATTTTTTTTCTCTATCCGCTATTTGTTTGTACATATTTTTCTACTTTTGCATTATCAAGTAATCAGTTTTCTTTATAAAAGTTCATAAAATTCAAGTATATTTCCATCTAGTAGATAGTCTATGAATAAACCAGCATATATCTACGTCTTCCTTGTTTATTATAGTCTGTCCAACGGGAGGATTTCAGAGAGTGACAGTTGTGTTTGTCATTTTAATTTACTGGCAAATTGTATTTTCTGTCGTTTTTTGTAAGTCGCCTGTCGAAATATCTAATTTACTGGACAAAATATAATGTCTTAAGATGGCACATGTTTGTGATATTTTGACCTTCCATCAGAAAAATCGATACACAGGATAAATTGGCATAGAAATAGAAGAACCCTTCTTTTGGGGGAGATACCCGGCCGCATATTTATATGTTGCACACAGATTATACATTCGGAATTAGTCGGGTCTGCTGCAATTCGGCGGTATGTAAGTTATACTCGGAAGCGCACTTTCTTGGATAAAGCACGATAAAGCGAGTGCAACATACAGAGTAGCGTAGGCGTTATTATGAATAATTATGTTTTGTGAATTGATGACTTATATTGGTATTGTATATATTATATTTTCCAACCCTTCTAACGATATAGCATGGGAGCAAAAATAAATTATATATGTGAATGAATAAGCATACTCTGATTCAAAATTTCGGGAATCGGAATAAAGAACACCGATACTCTAGAAGATCAATATCTATCACCCAACATTACCTAGACATAACCTTAATTTTTACAAGTTCTTTATAGCTAGGATCAATGACTAAAGAATAAAATGACATGTAACGCCCATATACAGGCTGCAGAATAATTTGTGACCTTATAGGCCATTCTTTCGATGGCAAACAATGAGTCATCATTTGGTCACCAGCGACAATTTTAGCGATTTTTAATCGTTTGTGTGTAGTGAACTTTGTATAAACTTTATTACAATGGTGATTAGTTGTTCAGCTTCAAGTGTAAACGCCACAGCGATAAGAAAGAGCCAGGAGTTACGTTTCATAGGTAAATAAACAGTCCGCCCCACCTTTTTAGCGTTTTCTTATTGAATTCAATAATTATTCTTCAATTTCAATTAACATCTATATGTACTTGATATGTGCTATACGTCGATACTAGTTTTGTACCTTTTGTTAACATTTTAATACGGTTTTTTTCGTAATTAATTAGTATGATACACCATAGGCGTAGTCAAAACAATTATCAAAAAATATAAATATTGCTTCAAACAGCTAGGTTAAGAAAAATATGTGCCACGGCACTGTTTGGTGACATCGTCACAATTTGCTCTCGGGTGTTATTTGTCCTTGGATTCTTTAGTCATTGGCTAGGCTGCGATTAGTGTTTTATTTTTTTAATTTTAAATAGCATGGAAAAGTTACCGGAAAATTGCGAATACAAAAAGTGGATTAAAACTCATTTTAATTACGACTGAAAAGTCAGGAAGAAGTAGAGGTGAGATTTAAGTTTAGTTTTTTATGATTTCAGGAGCCATAGCACGTAATTCTTTAAGATGATTGTAAGCGTTTCACTAAAAACAAACTACAAATGTTTACAAACTAGTTTACATACCGAAGAGAACTAAAAATATTTAGCTAAAAGAAAGTTTAGGTATACCAAGCGTTTTGTTGATTACTAACCAAATTTATCTCCAATTACAAAATTACAAAGAACATACTGGCATTTTTTTAGTAGGTAATTTGTTTTAGTAATTTGTCGTGAATTTTTGATATGAAATAGTTCTTTTAAGATCTGTTTTCAGGAATGCGTGAAAAAACGCACATTAGCACAAACTGCATACATTCTTTTTAATATTTAATAAATTGTGTTTGACAAAACTTCATTTTGTATACATTTATTGTCCAGGATTATAATTTTATTTATAGATTTTTCACATATTTTCTATTAAATCACAATTTTCAACCAACTTCAGTTAAGTTTTATGAATTTTATCAAAACTAACGACGACATAGGTCAATAAGTATGTCTTTATAGCATTTTAAAATTTATGATAGGCAAATGAATGGGCATCTCACATTTATATCTTAAATCATTCTCATTGCATAATACATAACCTTCTATAAATACAACTTAATTAAACTACATTTTTAACTGCTTATACCATATAAAAAATAAACGTAAGTAGGTACCTATGGCACGTTATATACAACAATTTTGAAGGTTTTTTAAAGAGACTGAGAATATCATAAAAAATATCAAGCGTGTTTCATAAAAGAATAGTTACCTAACTAGTTAAGCGCTACCTAACTCCTATAAGCGCCAAAATTAAACTGGCATAGGTATACACACATATGTTACAATGTTTCTGTATGTTGCACTCGCTTTATCCAAGAAAGTGCTCTCCCGAGTATAACTTACATACCACCGAATCGCAGCAGAGCCGCAGACCCGACTAATTCCGAATGGAATTTTCTGTGTGCAACATACAAATATGCTACCCGGCCCCTACCAATTTATACTGCTTTTCGATAGTTTGATTGGATGAAAAGGATTATTTAGGTACTTACTTAATCCAAAGAACATGAACGATGTTGCTCTCAGAATATTTGTCCTTCTGACGTTTTTATTAACTGCATAGTCCCTCATTGACATCTCCACATAGGAGAATTCTTTAAGGATTCCCTGCCACCTCATCGCCAAATATATGAAATGTACTGCAGCGAAAGTATTTGATATATAAAAGCATGTTACAGCTAAAGAGATAAAAATAACGTGAATTAGATTTACGTAGAACTGATATTAGTTTCATATTTGTACGTCTCATCTTTTAATTTATTGTATTAGGGTGAATAATAATTAGTAATAATAATAATTAATATAATAATATATTAATAATTATTTGATATTATAATTATTTGATTATTGTTATTCACCCTGTATACTATAGCATTTAATTTTTTGAAAAAACGCGCAATGTTTGTTGAATTGTAAGACAGCGCTTCCTATCGGCTACGTTCAAAAGCATATTATTATTATTTTTATGGTATAATATAGAGTAAGGAACGCTCTTTTAAACGAGCCCTCGTTAGTTGAATTCTGATCATCCAGTCCGGAGTTATTAACATTTAAATAAAAACAAATCTAACCTTCCCCCACCACTTTATTTTGGCAGATAGGGAAAAATGGTTTTAACAAAAATTATTCAAAATTTACTAGATTATGAGGCTATTATTTTAGTACCCGTTATCTAGGCAAAATTGTGCAAAAACTTCTTTTCCTTATTTTTTATAGCAGTTGGGCCCTCTATCGGCCGTTCTACAAACTTGAAAATAATTTCTAGCAATTTCTCATAGCCTCTTTAGTTATAAGTATTTTTTTCCGCATGCCTTGCAGTTAATACTTTCCGAGATACAGCCGAGAGCTATTCTTAGTGGGCCACCCTGTACATCAGATATTTGCATTTTAAGTCCCATTGGATCTTTCAGGATCAGGCGATGTAGGAGCTGAGTACAGAATTTCGAAACTGATATATTTGTATGTTCTGGATACTATTGCATTTACTGGTGGAAACATCGACATAAAATTTGACTTTGGTGCGGAATGCTTTGGGATGCTTTTTGAGTGAAACATCTCAACACAACTGTTCAGTCAAGACCAATTATAGTAAGTACCTCGCACATCGTATAGTTTTATTGTTTTTTTTTTTTAATTAAGGCTGACATTCTTTTTCAAAATATTTATTTATATCCCTAAAATTATTAAAAAAAATATCACAGGATGACAAAAAGAAAAAAAAAACAAAAACTGTTCATTTTATAATTCTCCATCTAACACAAGAATAATATACAGGGTGTTCCATTTAAAAAAAACGAAGAACCATTATTTTATATTTTAGAAAGTTTGACATAGAATTTTAAACACTCTGTGTATAATTTAAGACTGTGATATTTATAGCAAAGTAACTACAGACGACTATACCTAATAAGCACTTAGTATAGTTTTGATTTGATGACATGTTTTGTACCTATTTTTTATAATTTTTATAAAAACCGCTGAAAAAAATATTTTTAATTTTTTTTTATTAATATCTGTGAAACTATCAAAACATATTTAATAATATCTAAGAATTATGTAAAGTGATCAGAAAGAAAGCTAAAAATGGAATAATATACAGGGTGTTTTATTTAAATAAAATCATCCAGATCCCCTCACACTTCTTTGAGCCACTCTGTAGAAATTAAAATATATTCTTGAAATACATCTTAGTACATACTTTATGTTGGCACTGAAATAAATTTCTTAAGTTTTTTTATTCTAGGTGCTACAGATGCCCGACGCACTATTGCCAGACCCTGTATATTACACGATCGAAAAAAAGCGGCGTCAGAGGTCAGAGTTGTCTTTGAAATGAAGATCCCTCTAATTTTATATATAAAAATTATATGGTGTTGTCATCGATCGTCATTCTAAGCAAATTTGTTTTTTTTATATTACAGTAAATACATAATGAAATTTGACTTGATAATACTGAAATTTTAAATTAAAATAAAAGCCCCCCCCCCTCTCAGGTTCTGCTGAGCACCCCCAGAGAAATCTTGAATTATGACTCTTGGCTACGTATTAATTTTTATTTGCTTGTGATGTATTAAAAATGACGTTTTCTAGTTTTGTTTAGTTAATATTATTTTGTTGTGTTCAAAAAATGTTTTTTGTTCAATTTTTTTTTTAGAAAATTTGTAGGTATTTAAGTAATTTACGGAAATACGGTTTGATAACCAAGATTATTTTCTGGAATGAACTCAAGTATGTAAAGATGTATTTTGCGATACAAGTATAAAATAAAAGGTTTATATCACTTGCTCTTTTGCATCTTGTATTCATCAAAAATCAGGTTAACACTAAACTCAACAACACTGATACATAGCAAAAGAAAATAATTACCAGTTTCGTCGATCACAAATCCATAGACCGCCAACTTAACTATACAAGCGATCGCCATGGCCAAAACGCATCCCACGTGCACCGAGGCGTACACCATTCGGAAACTGACCCACTTGAACTTGACATCCTGCACGTTTTTGCTGATTCCTTGCAACGGCATCAAGCCGAAAAACTGGGACAAGATCAGCGCGAATCGTATATTGTCGTAGAAATGACGCGGTCTAAAAGGCACGATGCCGTTGGCATTGCTCTCGTCAATGGTTAGCGACGTTTCCGACTTCATCTTCTTTAGAACACGCATTGCGCCGTTGAGGAGCTGCTGCAGTGGACGTATCCACATGGAGAATGGTCTGTAATCGTCCATCTTGGAGAGCAGTTATTGTTTTGCGATCTTATCGCTATTATGTTAATGGAAAAACGCGTAGTTCGAGTGGTGTAAACATTTTTCGCAGATTGATTTTTTATTTAGACGCTGATTTAATAGATTTTTATAACGGTGATGCATACAGATAAAATAATCTAAATAAATAAAACAAACACGGGTTAATTACATCAATTATAACACAAGAACGGCTGGGCCATTTTTAATGATCTGTGATTTGTTGAATTCGTCTCCGCCCCGAATATCAAAATGACTCGGAAAAATCAGCGGAAAAAAATATACAGAAAATTAATTTTTAAATAAATAAAGTGTGGGACTTGGCTACCTGCAGCAATTGACAACTCAAATCATGCACGCTTATAGCTTATTTGTTATAATTGATGTCCACAGAAAAAATATAAATGCGCTGTGGGAGTATATTGAAAAGCATATAGATTTGAAAAAGGGTTTTATTTTGTAACTTAAGTGATTTAATTTTGTACAAAAGGAATATTCTTCCTCGGCTTTTTGCTTTACTGAAGTCTTCTAGTAGGGATTTGCAATTAAATTTTGCAGCTAAATCTGGGCTTCGATTGAAAGTTTTGTTAAAGCAGATAGTCGGTCCTGCTTCAAACTGTTTCTTAAGTATAGTGTTTTATAACATTTAACTTCTTCAAAAAACTTCTTTCTGCGGAAGCTGTACTTACAGGCATAGTCAACATTATTCTAATAGCAATATAAACATTGGGACAGATGTCTTTCAAATCATATTGAAAAGCATATAGATTTGAAAAAAGGTTTTATTTTGTAACTTAAGTGATTTAATTTTTTACAAAAGGAATATTCTTCCTCGGCTTTTTGCTTTACTGAAGTCTTCTAGTAAGGATTTGCAATTAAATTTTGCAGCTAAATCTGGGCTTCGATTGAATGTTTTGCTAAAGCAGATGGTCGGTCCTGCTTCATACTGTTTCTTAAGTATAGTGTTTTATAACTTTTAACTTCTTCGAAAAACTTCTTTCTGCGGAAGCTGTACTTACAGGCATAGTCAACATTACTCTAATAGCAATATAAACATTGGGATAGATGTCTTTCAAATAATTTGTAATTAGATATTGAATCATTTGATTGGCATCTCTAATGGAGTTTGGTAGATTAGGCACTAAAAGTTGTAGTTCTTGGTAAAGCTCATAAGATTGTGTCACTTTGCTTTCTCCATTTTAAAATGCTACACTAAAATCATTACAGTGCTTCAAAATCAAAAATCTCGTTATTTGGCAAATATTTTAAATTGTTTATGTCGTACCAGAATCCAAAATTTGTTCTAATATTCACTGAGAGCAGTAAACCTTGTGTTAATGTCTTCTTTACTTTGTCTTGTAAAGTTGAATATACTAACAACCTACGATGCTGTCTTTCGCCATTGCTCAATTTTCTCGTACAATAAAAATTCGAAAAGAGTCTTTCATTTTCATATTTTGGATAATATTCACTACTAAGATCTAAATTTTGTTGGGGAACCCAAATTCTGATTCGTTGTTCTCCCGAAAATTTGCTGTAGCTGTGTAATGTGCCAGCGTCAAGATTGCGGGAAGGCATAGAGCTCAATGCCACTTGTAGATTTGTTGGATTCACTTTTTCTTTCATCATTCTTTTGAAAATAATTTGTTTCTAATTCTGATCTGTCAACGATTGAAAGACTTTTGTTTTTAACTTCTTCTGCTTCTGGCGACATATTCGCTTCATTCATTTGAGACTCAGTAGTCATATCTAAATCTGCAGCTTCAGAGGTCGATAAATTTTTTATTTAAAAATGTTCTCACATTAGCACCGACAGCTTCATTACCTACGGTTATCTCTGCTTTTTTCTTTCGCTTTGATATACCGGATTCCCACTCGTCACACGCGCCAAGTTTAAATAAGCGAAAGGCTACTGTGTCTTTTTAAAGCGTAAAACTAGGAGTTATGTTTTGTTGTTATTTCATGTTCAGAAAAGTGACGAGTGTGGCCAATATTTTTTAAGTTTTTTTTTTAATTTTTATAGCAAACGGTTTGGTGGCATCGCTCGACGGCCCACTTTGCCCACGCCTAGCTACGCCAGTGGATGTACACTGCATGTCAATTATTAGACATTATAGAATAGAAATTCAATGGAGAATAATGTGAAAATATTATATTCAAGAATTATATTGAAATACATTGAAAATACTTCAACTGAACTGACAACCATTCCACAACATTCGATCAGTCATCCGTATCACAAGAGTGATAAAAAACTCTCAATTCGCTCAGAATAGGAGGTACGAAGTTAGTCGGGTCTGCTAGTACGTAACCTGTGTCCAGAATGTACCATTTTGTTTACAAAAGATTTTCTTGCTATCATTAAACAGAATTTTGAGGTTTTCTCGAACCTCCATTACTTTTCCGTGAAACTAAAGATTCTGTAAACAAAATTTTCATTACCTCCTTAGAAACCCAGATACAGAGAAATTGTGACATGTTGCAATTTTAAACACTCGTCGTAATCTTACTGAGGTTAGGGCAATGGATCAAAAAAGCAGAAATGCGTAATTACTTTTTTTAGTAATTTGTACTACCTTTAATAAATATGGTAAAAAAGTGCGTTATTTAACTTTTTATTATAAATCACTTTACTTTAATGAAAGAGTATTATTGAAGTGACACTTTTTTACGGGCGCTGGGAGTAAAAATTCAAGGCCGCGAGACGACACACGAGAGAAAAAGTGGCGAAAAACTCGTCCGATTTAGCACGTACCTTTTTGCATTTGAAATTACACTTTTTCAAATATGTCCTTTAAATCCTTTAATTTAATAGCTGTTAGTAAGAAGTTTTACTTCAAATATGCGCACATAGTGCACACACAATTTTTTTATTATTTAATTTAATTTAATTTAACTAGGATTTTGCTTTTGTGCTGCTTTTAGATAAAACTGTCAACCAGAGTTATGGTAATATAAATTTGTTTTCATTCTTTGATAGATTGATATTCATATAATTTTAATTAACGTAATATTTTTGGGTGTTTTAAAATGTTAAAGAAGTACAAAGTATATTTAGTTCGATGGTAAGGGTGATGATAGCTATTGGAAAATATGATACTTTAACAGCAAAGAATATGACGTTAATCAAATGAAATCGAATTGATATAACCACAGAAACGCTGTTTGATTTTTAGGACATAGTTGGAAAAGTGTAAACGGGAGTAACCATTTTAGAACAAGCAAAATTTTTTTTTATGAAAACTGCATTTTCTCAAGATATCAATAATATATGTCATTTGTTGAAATTACTGTATCTCTAAGGATAAAAGAAGTATCACCAGTACCTTACCACCAGTTAGCCTTCTATCCTAATGGCAAGTACCTTTTCGGGGCATTTTACAGTATCGCTATTCGATTTGGCAATAAAATTAAGTAAAGGCACCAAATTTCAAGAAAAACGGTTTATCTATGTTCTTAAATATGAACAAAATATACTAATTACCCTTCCAAGGGCTATAACTTCATCAGGAAGCATTTTAGAGCATATATTTATAGGAACTCTTTGTCTTATTTTTATCTATAAAACTCACCAAAAATAGAAACACTATTTTTTGACACTCTGTGTATTACCGTCGGCCTGTCATCGTTCTGTTTATTAACACATTTTTCAATTGAAGGAACTATTTTGATGATGTTGTTGATACTTTTCAATAAATTTATTGATTGAAGATATCAATTCGAATCTGTTTCGCTCTACGATTTCAAATTTTTTATTACAAAATGCGTCTCATAGTTTCATAAATTGCGTCAAATTAATCTTAAAAATCCAGATGCTTCTAGGCTTCAAAATTGATGGTACTAAATGTTTAAGAAAATTTATTTTTATAAAGGTTGTATTATTAATTTGTTCTTTATCTAAAAAGTCCAAAAGTTTTTTCTCTTGTTAAGATAATCCCGCGACATACTGTAGAGTAGGTATATATCTTTTAGGAAACTTAAAAGGCAACCAACAAAAGGCAAATAAAATTAAAAAAATATAGAGGATTACTAATTTTAAAAAAAACATAAAAAAGTTTGGGTCATATTTCGAGAAAAAAAGCTCTTAGCAAAAAACTAGCTACACCACTGAATTCTACGTAAAAAACGGTCCCATAACGTTTCTCACGTAAAATTCAGTGCTTTTCGCCTTCAATATGCTGTAAAATAAACGAGATACGAGGTTAGTGGATAAATGCAACAAAATCAAATTCGCCCTGTATTTCAGAAACTAAGAGGCCTAGGACAAATTTGTTCTAGGACAAATTTGTTTATAGCATCTTTAGTTTCATAAAAAAGTAGCACAGTGAAGTGAAAACCGCATCTCTACACAAAAACGAGAAATCTCATAAAAACACGAAAATGGGACACCCTGTACAGATTTTTTACCTCTATTCCTTTACTATAAATATTGATTATTTATTTAAATATAAATACGAGATGATTAACTTACTTATTCCAAAGAATAGGGGTATTTGCTGCATCATTTCTCATTGGTATTTCCATATTATTTTTGTAAAATATATAAAATGCTGCAAAGGCCCTAACTCAGTATATATTTTTTTAATTTGAATCTATTCAGAAGAAATTGTTTTAGTGTATTGATAATAATAAACCTTGTTTACATTGTTTTGTAATTTTTATACAAACTTCTTTTAAACGCTTTTTGATTAGAATCTGAACATGTTTTCCAAACGATTAAAAGGAAAACAGTTCTATTTTATTTGTCATTACTATGTATTGGGGGCCTGGTTCTGAAATTCTAACAACTATCTATTTTATTTGTCATTCAATCAAAGTTACAAATGATTTACAGTACATATGTGTCAATTAGTTATTTATAATGTCCAAACACAAAACGACAAAACAATATAATATAAAAAAGAAAACCTTATTTTTTGTAAATAAATTTATTTAGCTAAAAGTA